TGTTGCTGCCTGAACCAAAGGCCCCTGGATCCACCTTCAGCTCTGCTACAGTGACACGGTCATGGATTCTTGCCCCGCTCCGGGTCCAGGGCCAAGGTTAGCATTAGCCCGTTAGCATTAGTATAACGCATGTACAGAGGCCGATGGTCTGAAGAGACAAAAACACAGTTGGACTGGTCTCTGTGCTGCTGAGGGAGCGAAGGGTCTGACGCAACAGACAGACGACTCTTTCATCCTTAAAACGCAGAACATAGATCATAGAGCTTTCAAATATATTATCATTTATATAGAATATTTTAGGTCAAATAAATATATCCACATATAATCCTCTTTTTTGTAAAAGATTTACAATTAAACACACACACAAACACAATGGAGAGACGTTTGGGGACAGGGAGAGGATGGATGTAGTGATCAGCCACAACATTACGACCACATTCACTGCTGATTTTATTGTTTCATTCACTCTTCAGCCGAGGAACGTGGTCGGAATCTCTTGTTAGATCTCAGAAAACTCATGGAAGTGCGGGCTCCTGCTGTGGCTCTAAGAGCTCACAGAGATCACAGGGAATGAACCAAGAAACCGCTTCAAAATCATATCAAAACAAGGCAACAGTAATGACGGCGTTGAACCTAAAATGGCCACTCGATACATATCCTCATGGAAATCATATGAACAAACACCAAGATGCTAACGGTCTGGCTAATGCTACCCACGTCCACACTATACAACCATTTTTACAATATTTTTCTTTTATCTTCTTGATCAAAGGCAAACAAGGGGCTCCATGATTTAAAAAAGCGATGTTCTGTGGAGGTTCATGGCTCAGATTAAAGCTCAGAGCAGACGAGGACGAGAGAAAACGTTTGTGTTTTTATCACTGGGTCGAAACCGTTTCAACATTGACAATTGTGAAAACTCAGATTTTCCAATTCACGGACAAACCTCTCGCAAAGAAAATACGTTTTTTAATGATTTCAGGAGAGCTCTGAGACAACTCTTGCAAAACTAATTGATGAATGTGTTTGGATGATTTTTGGAAAAGGTTATTTCAAGAATGAAACAAAACCAATTCCAAACTTAAGACTCCCATTTTCTAATCTAAGTCACGAAAGGAAATCAAACGTTTTGTAATGATTCTGGGAGAGCCCTGAAAAAAACAACTTTAGATTAGCCCTCACTAATTAACATCTAATTCAGCGCTAAATAGTTTATAATGTAGAGGTAAATTGGAATTCATTAAGCACTTATTAGTCTTGTTAGTATTATACATTGAGACTTTCCCATGCGGGGTAGAGTTGGGGTTATGGTACACTAATTAGCATCAAAGGCTGATACAAAACTGGAATTATTTATGTTTTTGGATTTTGAATTATGTAGTTATTTGTTTGTATGGATGGACGTGTGTCTGCTGCTGGATTTATTCTACGGGGATCAATACTTTATCTATTCATCACTCTCTCTGTGTCTCTATCCCCATCTCTGTCACTCTCTACTACCTCTCTCTGTGTCTCTCTATCTATTAATGAACTGTTAATTAGTGAGGGCTGATGTGTTACCAACTCTTGCAAAACTAAACATAGGATATGGATGGATAGATGGAAAGTCAATTACTGTTGATTTGTACCAATTCTAAAGTCATTTACTTTTTGAGCAGTAAATGAGAGGTTTGCAGCCGTTGCAGACATTGCCTCTAAACAACGGTAGGAATCACACTTTTAGACTCTCGTTGCTCTTGACTGATGATTCTTCTCAATCCATTCCCTCTTCACATTTGTCGCCTCTGCAGCAACGTGTGTCGGGATCAGGTCATCTCTGCTTCGTCAAGGCCATGGAAAACCCTCTGAACAACTGTGTGGGCTTCGAGTGCACTTCACCTCCTCTCGCTCTCTCGCAGTGTTAGCTAGCGGCTCGAGCTGTAGCCAGGCAAATACTCGTTCACACGTCGACGATAAGAGAAAGAATAGATCAGCCCTCGGTGACGCCAAGAATGATTAAGACTTGGACACATAGATGAACACTGGCCCAGATTTGGCAACTTAGAATGTGTTTGTTTGGGCCGAAAACAGACAAACTCTCTCTCTCTCTCTGCAGCTCTTCGAATTGAACACCAAACAGAACATATGGCAATTAGCATAAGGCTAACATTATAGGCTATATTTCCATGTTACATACTGCCGTGGTGATTGTTGTATCTGCCTAGCAAGTTCAACAACGACCGATTAAGAGCAACTCACTTCTCAGAGCGCGACTTTAAGCCACACAACATTATATAATGATTTGTTCCTTTGTTATTGAAATTACAGGTTCACAAATCAAATCTCTTTTTCACAAATGATTCATTGAATCTATTCTCATGTTCAATATCACAGCCTGGTTTGGTTCACTCAGTCTCACCTCATAATTCTGTTTAACAGATCATTAAAATCTTATTAAAAATGTTTTTTCACCTTGTGAACTGGTCTCCCCTAACCCGGACTCGAGGGATGCAAACCCCTCTCCGCCTGCGAGTCACCTCAGTCCTACACGGCACATCCTCAGTCCTGGATCCACAACCTCAATCCTGGATGTACAGCCTCATCTCCTGGATCTACAGCCTCAGTCCTGGATCTACAGCCTCAGTCCTGGATCTACAGCCTCAGTCCTGGATCTACAGCCTCAGTCCTAGATCTACAGCCTCAGTCCTGGATCTAGAGCCTGAGTCTTGGATGTACAGCCTCAGTCCTGGATGTAAAGCCTCAGTCCTGGATCTACAGCCTCAGTCCTAGATCTACAGCCTCAGTCCTGGATCTAGAGCCTGAGTCTTGGATGTACAGCCTCAGTCCTGGATCTACAGCCTCAGTCACGGGGCATGTAGTAACATTTCTGGACAGTGATGATCCCGCTCCCTATGGACCTATGGCCCCTATATTGTTCTTATTATTGCATTTCCTGTGTATGAACTGTTTGTAGTTATCGATTCCTCAACAAAAGATCAGAAAATTAAACAGTTCAAGCAAAAGAAATATGGGAGCAGGATGACCACTGTCCAGAAGTCTTAATAATAAATGTCAAGTGTCTGTCAGAGTGACTAAAACACAAATTGTATACCCTTACAAACTCCTTAACAATATAGTCTGAAACCTCACTGGGATTTTCCTGGTTAAAGAAAGTCAATAATAATAAATAGCATTGTTCAACTTTATAAAATCAACAATCAACAATGTGGAATTTAATGTCAGATTTGACCTTAAGTTTTGTCTCTTGTTCCTTGAAGGACCGAGATAATGGAGTGAACCAACCAAAGACAAAAACGTTCCAAGCCCCATTCTCTCAACACTATTTTTAGTCGAGTTTGAAGCGAGTTGCTCTTTAAAGTCTAGATTATATCTCCATGTATCAGATGTGTTCTTCCGTATGGCACCTGTAGCAGAAGGCATCAACGATCCACAATCCTTCATCATTCGTCAAGCTCTCAACGACACCTGACGTTACATTCAGTCAATAACAGGGAGGGGACTGAGAAGCCTCCGTGGTTGTAGATAGGTAGTAAAACTATAGTATTCTGCGTGTAGTGATGTGGCACAGTGCTTATTCTTGACTAAATACATGTCTTGATATAGAGATACATTAGATTAGTACAATAACAACAACTCCACAGAAGTAAAAGTAAAACGATGCATAAATGCAGGTATAATGTATTGCTTAAGAAAAAAGTTAAAATGGTAATCTTTGCTTTTTGTGGTTTCTGGATATGAGAACGTGAGGTTTGCACATGCCAGTGTGTGTCGTGGTGGTAGATAAAGTTATACAGACAGATGAGATGCCAGTCACAGTCGACTTTACCCTGTTATCAAGAATATTACAGACACGGAGAAGCACAAACGCACAGAAAAAACACATTCAGGAGAGGAGTCAAGAGCTAAAGGACGGAGATAAAAAAGCTGGAGACAATTATCCATAAACTACGTTGGAAAGAACAGTAGTGGAGATAAAGACAATTTGGATGTTTGTAGTTGAGTAACATTGTAAGTTATGGTTCCACTGTCTACTGTATGAATACTGACCCTATTGGATTTAAAAGCAAGTCAAAAACTAGACTTTCAACCCATTTCAAAATGCATCAATGGAAAACAAAAAGGAAAAGATCCGAGGCACTCGGACTTATAATAAAAATCCTTTATGATGGTAGGGAAATTGCCACGAATCCTTGAAGAGCACCTGACCACTCATGTTTATTTTGGATTTAATCCAAAATGCTTTATCTAAAATGTTTGTTTGGAAGCTTGCTGGTGGTCATTGGTGTTTTGATTAGAAAACCATTCTCAAAAACCTCTTTTTTAAATACATACATCATTTGAGTATCCCGGGGTTCTCAACCTCCCAAATCAGTAAGAAGAACCACCACATTCAATCTTACTCAACACACACATCTGAACTGAGACATGGCACTGGTCGGCCTCCTCTCCCACTAGAAAAGAACTCATAGAACATACACAAAGATGCCTGGATCAGGCCTCACAGTTCTGCGGGGATGTAAACAGTTCATCAAGGAAAAGGGAATGAGGTGTAAGTGATTTGTTTAAGGGAAAAATATGTTTCTTTAAGAAGTAGGTATTCTGTGTTAAAGGCTTCTGAGAGCAGGTGGCCGACAGTACTACAATGTCCTCCGCCTTCCGAGAGTTCTCTGAATACAAACGGCTGCTCGAGGTGATCGTCCAAAGCCCTTAACTGAACATAGAAAGGAGTTCTCTTCAGTTTCAGGCTTGTTTGAATGAAACAAGTTCAGAGAATGCACATTGTTGTGTGGTCTTTCAGATATTGAAAGATAGTGACCATCCCCGGTGGGTAAGTTTGGCTTTTAGGTTTCTTTGTGCAGAACTATATGAAAGGGCTCAGAGTTGTTATTTATTGAACTAACTTAGCTGCCCTGCCTTGGTCGATACTGGGACGGCTAATATCCAGTTCACCTGCTGATAGTGAAAGCCCGTCAAGGCAGTCCTGTCCAGACGTTTGTGGTTCAGACTTCACTCTCCACACTGGAGAAGTGAGCCGATCCGCGGCGCGAGCACATGCTCTTGGCTTTTAAGGGTAAATGCGGAGACTGTGGAAACCTCTGGGACTGGGGGGCCGAGCGTAGTCTCTGATACTGCAGTTTGGCACTTGCTGAGGCCAAGGAGGAGGGAGGAGCGCCCGGAGTGGAGGAGACGACAGAGGGGGACGAGACAGAGGAGGAGGATGTGGGAGGGGCATGGATTGGATGTGACGTGGACGGAGGAGCAGGAAGGGCTGGGACAGGAGGTGGTAGGTTTGATAAGAGTCCAGAAGGGGGTGACTGCTGCCTGCCTCTGTCTCTGTCCCTGTCTGATCTGCCTCTCTGTTGCAGGCTCAGATTGGACTGGCTGCCGGATTTGTTCAGATTCTGCGAGCGATCGGGCTTGGATGACAAAGAAGAGTCATGTTTGAGCTTCCGGGGACCTCCGCCAAAGCTCTGGCAGTGGTGGTACAGCTCCTCCTGGCTTCGGGACATGGCGCGGGACCATTTGGCGGAGTGAGGATGACGTCGCGGGGACTGGTAGGAGCTGCAAGCTGCGTGCCCTCTGCTCTTGTCCTTAAGCTTCCTCTTGCTCTTCTTCTCGTCCTGTATGTGCAGTTTATCCACGGACCAGTATCTTCGTGGAGGAGGAGGAGTTAGAGGTGTAGGCGCCCATTGCGAACCCGAACCCCAGCCTCTCTCGCCTCCATCCCCACCTCCCGTCCCCCACCCGCTCTCAGCTGTGCCCCATCTATCCCCTCTCTCCAAGAACAGATCATCTCGACTCTCAACACTTCCAACTTTCTCTCTGGATGGATACGTACTGAAGAACCAGCCTCCCCCTCCTATCCCACCCACTGATCTCCCTTCGTGGTCCTCCCAATACCTCTCAAACTTCCCAAACTCTCCAGAAGACCCATCGTCGTCTGAGTATATCCCGATTACTTTATCTCTCTCCTTATCTGAGATCGATCTCCCGCCTGCTCGCCTCTTGCCTCTATCTCCTTTTTGTCTCTCCTGATCAGAATCCTCTTCCACGTCCGACTCCCATTCATGAAACGACAACCCTTCTTTCGTATGCACATCTGCTCTATCAGTCCTCTCAAGCAAGGGTCGCCTCTCCCCCTCCACTGCTGCTCCATCCCTATCTGAACTTTTACTTTTCCGCCTTTTTGAGGAAACTGGCAACAGCGGCAGAAAGGCAGACGGAATGGAATCAGAGGTTTGGTTTCCTCCTCCCCAGAATTTCACTGATGTTGACGGCTTGCTGCTTGAACTCTGGAAAGCCTTGCTATTCCTCCTCCTCAGATGTCTATCCTTTTGACTCTCTTCACCTTCGTCCCTGATCTTTTCCTCTTTCCTGTCCTCATTTGCCGGTGGTATATTCCATCCGTAGCTTCGAATAGAACTCTCGCTTTTTTTCCTGTACGACTCGCGCCTCAACGCTGGGTACGAGGTGAATTCAGGAGTAGCCGTTTTTACCTCTTCTCTCTTCTCACCCTCTCCCCCATCTTGCTCTGATCTCTTGCGTTCTCTATTCCGAGTTTTATCATCTTTTTTCCGCTTTTTCTTAGTTTTGCGCCTCTTTCGCTCCCTCTCTCGCTCCCTCTCCTCTCGTTTCTTTTTCTTACGCCCCTTCTTCCGTCGCTTTCTCTCTCTTTCCCTCTCCTTGTGCTGCCTCTTGTCAACTCTAAGACCGGCACCGCCTTCACCTGGCCTTGCAGTCGTTGATTCCCTTCTACCTCTTTCCCTGTCCGCCCAAGAGGCCCACCATTCTTGCAACTGTGCGAGCTGGCTGCTGGTACGCTCCCTGACATAATCTCTTTGGAGGCGGGGCTTTCGCGGAGGCACCGGCGGAGGAGGCGGGCTGCATGGTAACGATCTTGAAGACATTCGTCGTGATCGTGTCTTCCGCCGCGACCCGAGCAAAAGGCTGGACTCCTCGGTCAGCAAATCCGAATCGTCGTCCACTATGAAATCGCCAGCCCTGTAGCGGAAACTGAGGGACGAGTTGTAGGAGGATTCGCTGGAGCAAGACGAAGGGGAGTTTGTTCTAGAGCCAGAGGCAGACGAGGAGGAAGAGGATGATGATGACTCAGAGGATTCAGATGAGGATGCACTGGAGCAGGTGGAGTAGAATCGACAAGGCGATGACGGGGTGGTTGGTGTATGCGTTGGCGATGATAGAGGTACAGGCAAAGGCGGAGGAGGTGGAGGCCTTCTGCTTCGTCTGCCCTCATTGGGACCATACCTCGCACCACCTCTTCTACCCAGTGGTAATATATTCTCATACAGCGGACCACCCGAGCTCTTCCTCCTGGCTTGCGAAAGACTTCCACGTCGCCAAAATGGAGGCCTGCGTGGAGACGATGGCAAAGGCGGCGGTGGTTTTGGTATTAGAAGTCCTAGAGCTTGCTGAGAACTTTTACTTGGCCTTATCATCCCAGACGGCTTCACTCCACGCGGATTTGCCGCTGATTTCTCTTTCTGTTGCTCTGAATTTGCCCCCAACTCTGGGTCAATAGGTCCATAGTACCTTTTATACTCCTCTAACCCAGTATCCACCCCTGTCGCCGTTGGCACACCACCTTGCAGACTCCAATGCTGTCCAATGTTCTGCTGGTACTGCGTTTGAGATGGAATTTCCGTTATTCCGCCAGCAATTCCCCCAATGCCAATCCCACCGCTACTGCTGCTTGCGCTCAGAACTTTCTCTGGTTTTGGCCTGTTCCAGCGATCCACCACAGCAAGTCGCCGGTCGTGCCGAGGTAAGAAAGTGGAACAAGGCATAGGTCCTTCTAGTAGTGGGCTGTTGGAGGGTCCCAAGGCCATGGCAGAGTGTCCGGTGGTGGGAGGAGATCCTGGGAGCATGGTGGTGTAGGTTTGGCCCTGCTGTGGAGGTGGGTGCAGTTTCTGTTGGGGCTGTTGCTGGACCATGGCGATGGCGGTTGTGTTGTTGATGGTAGCGGTCACCAGATGCTGCTGCGATACACTGGGCATGCTGGTGACAGAGTGGTACTGAGGGAGAGTGCCGCCTGAGGTGGTCTCGTCTTCGAACTGGCAGCAACTGTACATCCCCTGAGGAGAGAGGAAAGGAGAGAGATTTAGGAACTTCAAGACCCAAACAGAAAGTATGATTTGAGCATGTGGTAAAAAGGACTTTTAATTATTTAACAATTGCCATTTGCTGTAAAACCACATTGGTGTACATGTGCAAAGGTCCCACAGTGTGCACAAGACAAATATGTTTAAAAAAAACATTTGAATAGTTGAAATATTTGAAAACACTGAAAAAACTGCAGATCAGAATATCACCCAAAAAAAAGGGATTTGTGTAACTTAAGTTGTAATATAAAGGTCTCACTGTTGAATGAATGCTATCCAATTCAAACAAAGAACAGAATAATAAGGTTTAAAACAGCCACTAATGGCTCTTGCTTCTCAGTTAGAACTTCCTGGATTTGCTTGACTGAGTTTTCCCTCCTCTGGGTGCTCCTGTTTCCCTAAAATCATGTACAAACATCCTCCAGCTCTGGTCCTGAAGAGTATCAACATCTGGAGAGAACAATGAAACATGTCACACACTGTAAAACTTAAGTTAAGCGCTTTCGTTATGCAAATAGTTTTTTTCCACGAGCGGTTAACAGTCTGAATAGAGCACTTTAATGTTTTTTTTTGCACTCGTACAGATCTGTTTTAAGTTGGTCAACTTCACGGTGACATTTGTTTACTGTTTTTTAAAATGTGTTTTATTTTTGTCTTTTAATGTTGTTTTGTGTCTGTACTTGTCCTGTGCACACTGGGAACTCATACAAATGTATTCCAATGTGGTGTTACTGCAAATGGCATAATAAATGAATCTGAATCTGAATCTGAATCTGAATCTATGAATCTGAATCTGAATCTTGAGTTGCCTTGTGTATGAACTTTTTGTTTGCTATACAAAGAAACTTGCCTATCCTTATGTGTGTGTTGTGTCAGTGTTAGGGGCTGGCACCAAACTAGGGTTGCTTCGTCCCACCAGTGGATTGTGCTTTAAATATATTATTGTATACTGATTTTTGTTTTTGTGCATAACTTTTAAATAAATTACCACAGCTATAAATAGTACCTGTGCTCCTCCATTATCCAACAACATCACAGCTGTATTTGAATAAACCCTGTGGAGACCCTCACTGATCTTTATTAGTCCGTGCTCAACTTCCACTGACCTCTTTCTTAATAAACCCCTCCTTGGTTTCTCTCCCGGTCGTCTCTACGCCACATGAATAAAAGATCGCATCTGCGCTGTGAATTAGCGCTCCCTTACGCAGCCTTTTTCCATTACAGAAGCTCGAAAAGATTTATCCTCCGCAGAATGATGCCGTCCCATACCCCGCACTCTGATAGATAGATGGAGCTCAATTAGCAGCACTGAGGAGGGGACTGCAGATTCATTACATCTGAGGAGATCTGTGCCTGCGTTTTGATGAATGTGTTGCCAGCTAGCGTAAATGTGCTCCGTTGGGAGGTGGGTCGGACGCGAGGGGGAAGATGTAGGAGTAATAATAATAGACCTTTCCGGGTGCATGAATCAGCAGTGCGGGCGACACGCGAGGCAGAGCGGTGTGAAATTAAAAGGAAAAGTCAGTGATTGGGTTAAAGGGATTGGGCATCGTGGTTCTCAGACACACATTCAGAGATTTAGGAGAGAAAGGGAAATCTTCAGGGAGACGGGAAGGGACTGGACAAGGAATTCACTTTTTGAAGCTTTTAAGACTAGGACTATCTGAAATATACAAGAACTCCCAGTGCTGTTGTTATGCGTGCTCATTCAAACCAATGGGAAACGTTTTTCACTTTTTCCCCCTGGGTTTTTTAGAGTGGTTCTTCTACAATACAGGAGGGTCTAAGGACAGTTTTTCAAATTTCTGGACAGTGGTCATCCCGCTCCCTATGAACCCAATCACTCCTATGTGTTTGTTATTATTGCATTTCTTGTGTTTGAACCGTTTGATTCTCTGATCTATTGTTGGTGAATCAACAACTATGTAGAGTCCTCACAGATACTGTATATACTTTTTTGTGATTTAAGGTTATACAAAATGAATTCAGTTAAATTCAATAGGAGACAGAACAAGTTAGAACAAAACATTGTCAATTATCACTTCCCTATCGGACTTGATTGAGCTAGCGAGTTAGAATTGTCCATCTGTAAACAGTCTATGTTAGCATTGTCCATCTGTGTACAGTCTATATTCTTCTTTAAGGTTTTTTTCCGAATCCTCTCATAACTTTTTGAGTTATGGCACGAACAGACAGACACAATCCAAGCATTACCTTCCCCCGTTGGCGGAGGTAATAAAAGCCATTGGTGTCATAGATCGTCACTGTGAAGCCGAGAGGAGCTTGTTATGTCTGGCATGTCTCCCCCATCCCTCAGCCCTCCCTGTCCCTGCGGTCTGCCCTTCACTTTTAGACTGCCCCAAACAGATCCTGGACCGGTTACAACACTTCTCTCTTCCCTCTCGTCTTCATCCTCTCACAGCAGAGACCTGCTCCATGTTCAGAGAAGTACAGATCATGAGTTAATTTTTAGCTTTTTTTGTCAAAATCATTCTGAATCTTCTCTGGTTGAAAACCAAGTTGAACTAGGACCTTTGGAGAAAAGAGGCTTTAACTGCAGATTAATTTTGAAATTAAGTTAAAGATAAAAAGTTTAAAATAAAACATAATTACATTAAAAAATGACATAAATAAACTACATGAAAACATAGAAAAAGTCACAAAGCTATGAAGACTACAAATGACCATGTGCTGTAATTGCAAAACTAAATCCCGTCAATTTGACTGCTCTGGGAGTTCTAGTGGGGCCAAGACATAAAGGCAGACTGGAAGACAGGAGGAACAAAGCTCACTGTGGTCAAGCTCTCCCACTGTCACTAACGGCAACAGCATCTGTCAATCACACTCAGCTGCAGCACTACACCGCACTCACCTGTCAGTAATCAAGCATCAGATGCATCAAGCTTCATATCACGGGGAAGCTCCATACATGCAGCAACCCTCCTCCTCCCCTTCTCCCACTCAGCACTTCTCCCTTCTCCTGCTCCCACCACCAGGGTCTAGGCCCATGGGGATTTCATCTGTTTTAATTTCCCCTTCTGCAATCGTGCAGGGCTCTACCGGGGTCTAAGCGCCAAATCTTAACCATATTTCTGTACAGCAACAATAAATGTAATCCTGAAAATATTATCTTCTGAGTCATGTGTACTACTTTATATTGTGTCAGTTAATTGCAAACGGTAGCTCAGTTGGTAGAGCATTGGCCTTTGAGCCTGAAGGTCGTGGGTTTGAGCCCACCGTAAGACCTACTTCACGACTCCCACTGATGACTGCTGTCGTTGAGTCCTTAGTAGGGATGTAAAAAACTATGAATTTTCATGACCGACCACCGAACCTCATTAACCGGTTGAAACCGGTTAACCGCGTAGTTTAAAATAGTCCGCGTTCTTTGAAATAACAGCCATTTCGAGCCGCGTACTTTTCATAAGTGCAGCTCTGCGTTCTACTGGATCAGAGCCGAGACAGCGGCGCCAAAACCCGCAACAGCTCCGGCACCTTTGCGCACAGAGAACTGCTTTTTTAATCTTCCCATTCTGCTGTGCTGCGGGTTAATACCAAAACTTTCTAGCAGCAAACAACGGCTCGTTCACATGGTCAGAGCAGCGAGTGACGAGCCGCGTCTCACAGGTCTTCACAAAAGTTTAAATACAAGTGATGTGTGTGGAGCTGATCCCGAGGACCATAAACACAAACATGTTCCATGTGGTTTGACTGGAGCCGTGTATTTGCGCGAATCCTTTGGGCTCCGTGACACAGAGGAGCGCGACAGACCGGTATGTGTGTGTGTATGTATATGTGTGTGTGTAAATGTAAGCTCCAATGTAGTTCTGACCCGCGCCAGTGTGCAACTTTGACGGTAACAGAGGGGAGAGAAGATGCGTCTGGATGTTACGTATGGAGAGGGGGAATGTGTGTGTGTGTGTGTGTGTGTGTGCGTGTGTGTGTGTGTGTGTGTGTGTGTGTGTGTGTGCATATGTGGCTCGTGCGGCGTGAGAGTCGTCCCGGAGTTTATAATACATGGGCGCACACAGCTAGATACAGACCCGCTCGTCACACCGTGCAAATAGGGCTTAAAATAGCGTTATTAAGAGACCTCCCCTCTCCCCTTTTTCTCTTTTTTAACCGACAGCTTTGACCGGTTAACGCTGTGACGGTCAACCACCGGTTAAACTGTCGCCGATTTACATCCCTAGTCCTTAGGCAAGACACTTAACCCCACTTTGCCTGAAGCTCCCACTGAAAGATATTAGCTTCTGTGGACTCACCACCCGCAGGAGGATCAGTGAGGGGCTGGTGCTCTGTGTACTGGGTGGCATCTCTGGCCACCCCCCCGACCCAGAAATGGATTAAGGGGAAGAAAATGGATGGATGGATGGATAATTGCAAACAATATAGAATTCCAATAAAACACCTGTTTTTCTGTTCGAGACTCTCCAGATTGAAATTTTACATCTTACAGATGTTTGAGTGGCAGGTGGGTAAGAAAACCAACAGACTTACAGCCTGTACAGACGTGATAAACACTTCTGAGAGAGTTAGCAGAGAGCAGTGAAGGCATTGTTTTTTCTAATTTGGGTGGAACACAGCCCAGGGGATCAGTTTCACACTCACATTTTAACCTTTGTTTATTTAAATCCCAAAATGGTGAGTGTGACACAAACCGTTACTGTGCAGGAGGAGGAGTTTACTTTTACATTCCCTATTGGGCTTTATTGAGCTGGGGTAAAGAGTTAGAAAGCCAAAGACAGAATTTGAGAATGGGGAGTAGAGGGGGGGGGGGGAGAAGAGGAGGGAGCGGAGGTTGTCTTGGAACCTGCCTTGTGACTGAAATTGTAAATGAAATGCAAAGTCCATAAATGAAATGAAAAGGGAGGTGGATGAGGCGAGAAAAAGAGAGAGGACGAGGAGAGAGACCATTTTATAATGTGAAGACAGTATGAGGTTTAGAGAGAAGCTGAAAATATGTATTAGTAATTTCTTCATCACCTGTATGAAACCTGGGATGATGCAAACATGAGGTGTGTGTTGCGTGTGTCTTGAGGTGAGTGCTGCGTGTGTCTTGAGCACACGTTCTGCTGCACGTTTGCTCCTCTCTAATGGAAGGCCCTGGACCCTTTACTCAGGGAGAGAGAGCAGTCTTCAGATGCCTGGAGGCCGATGCTGATTCTGTTTCAAGGAAAGTTGGAGGAGACTCAGAAACAGAAAGTGGTGATTGTGCTAAAAGCAGCTCAGACCCAGACGGGCACTCACAGACTATTTCACTGACTTTTTCAGAGGGAAGTGGAGAACAACTTGTTCTCAGTATTGGGGAGGAACAAAATACATATTCAGACTACCCATTTTGAGTAACTGTTTTCCATTACAGTTACTACTTTAACATCTAGCATTTAGAATAATTACAATATCAAAATCAGCGCACATTTCACAGAATGCTTTCATATTGTGAAGTTCAGTCATTCTGTTTTCTTCTCAGTGCTATTGTAGGAAGCCCCTGCAACAACCTCTAAGCTAGCAGTAGCTAAATGTACCTTTTTAATAATTATAATAATAATACATAGTACTTACTGTATATAGCGCTTTTTTACAGCGCTATATAGAAAAATAATAAACAAAAATAAAAGATAAAAATAAACAGTTGTGGCAGTTTCTAACAGGTGAGTTTTGACAAGTGATTTGAAGTTCTGTAGTGAGTCTGAGTTCCTGATGTGGGGTGGGAGTGAGTTCCAGAGTGTGAGCATGCTTTTGTGTGTGTGCATATGTACATATGTATATATGTACATGCATATGTGTGAATGTGTGCTGTGGTTCTATAATAATATCTGGATGGGGTATTACTAGCTCATAGCTGTCCCACTAATGGGCACAGGCGGGGCCTGCGGTTCTGCATACTAAATTTACGTGGGCTATCTAGACATTTTCCCCATAGAACTCAACATACTGAAAATTAAAACAGCTCGACCTCAGCTGACAGAGAACCTACAGCTTTCACAAAGGTTGGATTTTGTGGGGATTTAGTGTCTCTTATCATCCTAAACCTTTAATCTTCTTATATCCTTTGGTTTTCTTTAAATCCAGACTTTACTGCCACAAACTCTGCTCGTTTGGCTCCTGCTCTAACTCCGCTCTGAAGATCAGCTCTGATTGGTCAGAGCACGGCCGAGCCCCTTTGTGCACATGATGAGAGCCACACACACGTATTTGGCGCAACGCATCATTAAAGCTCGTCCACTGCGCAGAACCGGGAGGACCAGACGATGTCCAAATATGGACGAGTTCCGTTAATCTCTCGGTCCCCGTGTATATCACATGCATCTGTGCATGTGTGTAAATTAGCAAGGCTATATTTCTAGGGGGTATGTTTTGTAATTCGTGAGGAAAGTCATCAAAGGCAAGGATCCAATACATGTATTCTAAGTATTAAGAATATAGTTTCTATTTGTCCGAAAGTAACAGAATACTAACGAGTCAGTATTTTGTAAGGTAATACTTTTTCAAAGCCAACAAATGAGATGAACATATAGGTTTACAGCAGTGTATTCACAACAAGGAAGTACCACCACAATAGTGTCTGTCCTGAAGTCCTCTCACATTAGTCCTGGTCTCAGGTCTCTGTCCTGAAGTCCTCTCACATTAGTCCTGGTCTCAGGTCTCTGTCCTGAAGTCCTCTCACATTAGTCCTGGTCTCAGGTCTCTGTCCTGAAGTCCTCTCTCATTAGTCCTGGTCTCAGGTCTCTGTCCTGAAGTCCTCTCACATTAGTCCTGGTCTCAGGTCTCTGCTTCTTGTGGTTAAGTGAAAAGACTTTAAACCAGCTCTTCTTGTTACAACTCTCTCCCACATTATTCTTTTATAACTTATTACTAATTTCGTTTGAAAAAAGTTGGTGCCTCATTAAAAAGTTTAAACTCAAATTTTAAGCAATAAAAAACACAGCTGCGAGAAAGAAGAACTTTGAAATGAATTGTGGTTTTAATACAAGTTGTAGATTTAGTAGTTTTAATTCAACTTCTAGATTTGTATTTCAGTCTTTTGAGCTAAAAAAACTTTAAGAAAAAAGAGTATAGACATTTGGAAAAAGGAAATGTGCTGTTTTCCATGATCATTAGCTGATAGTGATGAGATTATCAAAGCCTCAATATCACACATATGTACGAAAGTGGCCAGAGACCAGAGAGAGAGGCCAGAGAGAGAGACCAGAGAGAGAGGCCAGAGAGAGAGACCAGAGAGAGAGGCCAGAGAGAGAGACCAGAGAGAGAGGCCAGAGAGAGAGACCAGAGAGAGAGGCCAGAGAGAGAGACCGAGAGAGAGGCCAGAGAGAGAGAGACCTGAGAGAGAGGCCAGAGAGAGAGACCAGAGAGAGAGGCCAGACAGAGAGGCCAGAGAGAGAGACCAGAGAGAGAGGCCAGAGAGAGAGGCCAGAGAGAGACCAAAGAGCGACGTGAGAGACCAGAAAGAGACCAGGGAGAGAGAGAATACAGAGAGACAGGAGAGATATGTGGGAGGCTAGAGAGAGACCAGGCTCTTTGGACGTATGTGATGTCACATGAACGCGACCCATGTGATACCAAACCCTCTTCTGAAGAGATTATTCCGTGTTTATTTATCCATAAAACTGCTTTTGGATGGATCTGGATGGCTGTGTTTCATTAGTCCTTATTGCAACTCGGCCACAGATTGGATCCACAGCAAAATTTCAATCAATATTATCTGCGGCTGGTTTTCCAAACGCTTCTGCAGTCACCGTTTAGTGAGATGATTTTCCTCATTTGTGCTCAAACGCCAAGGTCATCGCTGTTTCCTAAAATAATTGGTCCAAACTCCTATATTGATCATCTCTGCACACGCATACATCTGATTCAATTACTCACTTACATGTCTCATTACACAGATCGATAAGCTAACAGTGGTGTGCGGCGGAGCGAAGGAGCAGGAGAAGGTGGAGGAGCAGGAGGAGCAGCAAGAGACCAAAACCTCTCAGACACTTTACAACCGCTGTAAAGTCTCTAAAGGGGGGAATTATTTTTTATAGGGTGCAACTCAAGAAAGAGAAAATGTTGTGGAGGGCTGGGTAAAGAAAAATTGACAAGTTAACGACTATATCCCGTGTCCTCGGAAATGACAGCACTCTCGCTTCTCAGCGGGACCGAATCCTTGTCGGAACAAGATCTTTTTGATGGAGTTTACATGTTCTCCCTGTGTCTGCATACATTTCCTCCGGTTTCTTTTACCCCTCTGCACAATAGGTATATCCTCTGGCTCCAGTAGTTCTGACCAAGCTGAGCATCAACATCTGGAGGTGGTTAGCTGGGGGCTGTACTACCACAACCACTGCTTCAAACAGACGCCCTGGTGGCATCAGGATGGGTCAAATACATTTGACTAAATAAATAAAGTGCACTTTTACTGTTAAAAAAGGGGGTGACACCATGCAAAAGGTCTGTGGATGCGTCAAAGCGGCACAGAAATGCCGGAAATGAACACTTATTATAGAAATGAGCCCTCCGGATTACATCACTTGGTGGGCCGGACCCGGTCCCAGTCCCATATCTTGCCCAGGTCTGATCTACAGCCTCAGCCTTTGATTCTCTGATCCGTGGTGGGTAAATCCACAACTTTATAAAATCTTCTTAGTCGACTGCTGTTGTGATATACAGTAGAGCGATACACAAATACATTGAATTGAAGGGAATTGGGACAAACATGTTTGTAGTAATAACCATCTCCGGCACACGCTGTCAACACATAATTCTAAAGAGAGAGATGGAAAAATGTGGAAAGATGCAACGATCAAACCTCAGTGAATACAGAACGATTTACATGTATCTACAAAGATGTCGGTTCAAAGCCCAAACATACATGTGTGTTGCATAAGTGTGAGTCCTCACCCGGCTCAGCGCCAGTAGAAAGTCCATCCCTCCAGACTTGCGGACGCAGTGCCTGAGTTTCCAGTAAACCAGATGTTCCCAGGCGAACACCAGCAAACTGAGCCCCATGGCAACCAGCAGCATGTAGAAGACCCCCGCCATGTTGTCTATGTCCAACTTACTGCTCATCACCTACACACACACACAGGGACACACACACACACACACAGGAACAAACACACACACAGGGAGAGACACACACACAAACACACAGACATACAAACAGGGACAGACACAGACGCACACACAGGGAGAGACACACACAGGGACAGACAAACACACACACACAGACACACACACACACACACACACACACACAGGGACAAACACACACACAGGGAGAGACACACACACAAACACAGACATACAAAGAGGGACAGACACAGACGCAGACACACACACGCACACACAGGGAGAGACACACACAGGGACAGACAAACACACACACACAGACACACACACACACACACACACACACACACACACACACACAGAACGCACACAAACGCAGACACACACAGACACAGGCACACAGACGCAGACACACACAGACGCAGACCCACACATACGCACACACACCGAAACAGACAGACATACACACACACACAGGGACAGGCTTTGGGTTAGTCACATAAACATCTGTGGGTTTCCCTGCTCTTCCTCATATATCTCTGCTGTTCACATAAACACACATGAATCAGGAATGTCCCTTCCCAAACCCCAGGGGGCGCTCAAGCATAATACAAACACAAACAGTTGTACCTCGATCTTATCATTGTGGCAGATCCCAGACAGCCACAGTCGCTCCAGCATGTCGATCTCATCTGCAACAAGAGAGAAGGAGGTCAGAGGAGGAGGGGCAAGAAAGAGGTCAGGGGAGGAGGAGGTGAGAAGAGGAGGTAGTGAACGGAGAAGAGAAGGAGAGGAAAGAGAGGGGGAGGAGGAGAAGAGAGAGAAAGAGGTCAGGGGAACTATGAAGTGTCCTTTTGCTCAAATTTCTGTCAATTTCTGTACTCACATTAAACGTCTATTTATAATATTATATAGACGCCTTTGTCATTCCGCTGCAGGTGCAATATCACTGACTGCAGGTGCAATATCACTGACTGCAGGTGCAATATCACTGACTGCAGGTGCAATATCACTGACTGCAGGTGCAATATTACTGACTGCAGGTGCAATATTACTGACTGCAGGTGCAATATTACTGACTGCAGGTGCAATATCACTGACTGCAGGTGCAATATCACTGACTGCAGATGCAATGTTGCTGACTGCAGGTGCAATATTACTGACTGCAGGTGCAATATCACTGACTGCAGGTGCAATATCACTGACTGCAGGTGCAATATCACTGACTGCAGATGCAATGTTGCTGACTGCAGGTGCAATATTACTGACTGCAGGTGCAATATCACTGACTGCAGGTGCAATATCACTGACTGCAGGTGCAATATCACTGACTGCAGATGCAATGTTGCTGACTGCAGGTGCAATATTAAGTAAGTCATCTTTATTTATATAGCGCCTTTCACAGACCAGAGTCACAAAGCGGTTTACAATTGTTATTTTTGGGGCCTTGTCCTCTCACTCCACACAGAGATGGGAGCGGGGTCGCCAAACAGGAGGCGCATGCCAGACCTATTGCACATATTTTTAGTGGTAGGGGAAACCGGAGTACCCGGAGGAAACCTACGCAGACACGGGGAGAAAACGCAAACTCCACTCAGAAAGGCCCTGGTCCGACCGGGATTCAAACCCAGGACCTTCTTGCTGAGAGGCGAGAGTGCTATACACACCTGACTGCCGGTGTAATATTACTGACTGCCGGTGCAATAGTCACTGATGTCATAAAGGCTGTGTTTTCTGTGCTAGTTTAACCTTGTAGCAACGATGACAAAACAACAGCATTCGTAAAGCACTTGTTTTTCTTCCAATATCATGAACAACTGGATTCCCAAACTGTAAACGAGCTTCTAACCTTGTCTGTTTGTGTTTCTCCTCTAAACACTCGTCCCGTTTCATGCCCCAGCTGTCCCGTCCCATAATGCCTTCGGGCCAAAATCATCTCATAATTATAAAACCCAGAATGAGCCCTGGAATGCCGTGTTTTGAGTGGTTTCTTGTAGTTTTCTCTCGGTCCAAAGACTTCCACACAACCGCTCTTTCCTCTGACCTCGGGGTTAATTAACTGTGTGTAAAGCTCTCCTTATAGATTAGCACGTCCAGCACGCGCCGGCTATCTTGGAAGGGGGAAAAAAAGAGGAAAGGTCGATAAACAAATGTAGATTTTGCTTCTTGTCACGATTCTTTCCAATTGACTCTAGCAGATAATAGGAACCCTTATTGACTTAAACTGCTTCGATGCATCAATAGAAGCTGGATAATAAACACATACCTATCTATATGACACATGTATTTTTCCACAAAGGGGCAATATTTAATGGATTTGCAAGCTCTCGACATTTAGAGAAGTTCAATTCAGTTTGTTTTTGTGTAAAACCCTACAGCAGTCGTCTCTGAGCTGTGAAATCAGAGAATCAAACTGTTCAAACATCGGTGGTGCAATAACAACAAACACATAGAGCTGTTGGTCCATAGGGTGCCCAGAGTCAGGACTAATCATGAGGAGGCAGCGTTTCATATTTATTGAGGTTGTGAACAACAACAAGAGTTGTCTCAGTGCTTTGGAGAGGCACTCTGAGTAAAACCAGCGAGGGTTGGTGATAGAACCTGTATGGACCCGGACCTCCTCCTCTCTTCTGATACTTTGAGAATAAATGTTGCTCTGTACCTGTGCCTCTGGTCACAGTATTCAGAATTATCACATGGCTCCACATATGAAATATTGTGTGTAATTGTCGTGTGCTATTTGTCTTTAAACTCTGTATGGGTGAGAGGGTGGGCAGCACCACCCTTCCCGCCTTGTAGAGTCTTCAGTCCTGGATCTACAGGCTCAGTCCTGGTTCTGAGTGGTTCAGGGCAACGGTTGGTAGAGCATTGGCCTTTCAGCCCGAGGGTTGTGGGTTCAAGCCCACCATCTCCACCGACTCCACTGATGTCTGCTGTGTTTGTGTCCTTGGACAAGACACTTAACCCACTTTGCCTAAAGGAAGCAGGAGGAGGATGTTTGCTGCTTGCCTTGATATGTATGTGTACGCATCAAAACTGAAATTTCCCCGTTGTGGGACGAACAAAGGATCTTCTTCTTTTCCGATGTCTAAGGACAGTTATGACCTTTAAAAACATTTCTGGACACTGGTCATCCCACTTCATATGGATCAATGGCTGCTATGTTTATTATCATTGCAGTTCCTGTGTTTGATCTGTTTGATTCTCTGATCTGTTGTTGGTGAATCCACACCTTTGTAAAGTTCTCTGAAACAACTGCTGTTATGATTTGGCGCGAAACGCAACGTCATTGAATTGAAACAAGTGCAGTACATCATTCTAAAGATCAACTGTTTAAGTGACGAGGGAGAACTGTGATGACATGTGTTCAAATTCAGATCTAACTCAACCATAGACTTGCAAAATACTGAATTTACTTCAATCCAACCTCAATGAATTATCACCAAGACCAGTTTTCCATCCAGACACCGCATGGACCGATGCACCTGTCTGAAATGCGTCTGCTTCTGTTTCATTGCACTCTGTCCTTGAGCACTTCACCAATGAGCGATTGATACCTGAGACTAAATGAGCAGCTGATGCTGTGAGAAGCCTGTGGGGAGCAATGGGTTCGACGGGTGCTCTGTATAAGGAGAGAGAGAGCGAAGCGAGAGACCAGAGAGAGACCAGAAAGAGATGAATGAGAAACCAAAGAGAGACCAGAGGGATACCCGAGAGAGAGACCAGAGAGAGGCCGGAGAGAGGGACCAGAGGCAGAGACCAGAGAAAGACGGGAGAGAGAAGACCAGAGAGAGACCTGAGAGAGAGGCCGGAGAGAGGGACCAGAGAGAGAGACTGAAGGGGGACCAGAAAGAGAGATTGGAGGTGTGGACCACAGAGAGACCTGAGAGACGGCCCAGAGAGAGGGACCAGACAGACCAGAGGGAGATCTAAGAGAGAGACCAGAGAGAGAGGCCGGAGAGAGGGACCAGAGAGAGGGACCAGAGAGAGAAACTAAAGCGGGGTCAGAAAGAGAGATGGGAGCAAAACCACAGAGAGACCAGAGAGAGACCTGAGAGACGGACCAGAGAGAGGGACTAGACAGACCAGAAGGAGACCTGAGAGAGAGACCAGAGAGAGGCCGGAGACGGACCAGAGGGAGAGACCAGAGGGAGAGACCAGAGAGAGAGACCAGAGAGAGATGGGAGAAAAACCAGAGACAGAGAGACTAGAGACAGACCTGAGAGAGAGACTAGAGAGAGCACTGGTTTCTAAACTGTCTGTTTGAGAAAAGAGAGAGACCAGAGAGAGAGGGACCTGGGTTGTAAAGGCCGGTATTTCTTCCAGAGCACATGAACCAGACTGAGGCCTCTCTGCTATGAGGTCTGGATTCACAAACGTTTAGAATGTTTGAAATTCAGACCAGAGTCTCTGTAACATAATAATATAAGTCTGACTTTATCTCCAAAGTCTTTCTGCTGCTATTTGACTAGAAAGCTCTCTTGGCAAGACTCCAAACCATCGAGAAACAGCAATCATTTTTGCATGCAGTAGGGCTACAAACTAAAGAGGGAAAAATCCTGTACTATTCCTTTTTTTTTAAAGAGAGACAGATCAGAGAGAAAGAGGGACCAGAGAGAGAGAGAGAGACCAGAGAGAGTCCAGAGAATGAAACCAAAGAGAGAGAGAGAGAGAGACCAAAGAGAGAGTGACCAAAGAGAGAGCCCAGATAGAGAGATGCCAGAGAGAGACCAAAAGGAGAAACCAGAGAGAAACACTAGAGAGAGGGCCCACAGAGATATATCAGATAGAGAGAGGCCAGAGAGAGAGGGATCAAAAAGAGAAACCAGAGAGAAGAACTAGAGAAAGAGAGACCATAGAGAGACCAAACAGAGATACCAGATAGAGATCAACAAGGGAAACCAGAGAGAAAAATAGGGAAAGATTCCAGAGAGATCCCAGATAGAGAGAGAGAGACCAAAGAGAGACCACAGAGAGACCACAGAGAGACCAAAGAGAGACCACAGAGAGACCAAAGAGAGACCACAGAGAGACCTCAGAGAGACCTCAGAGAGACCACAGAGAGACCACAGAGAGACCAAAGAGAGACCAAGAGAGAGACCAGAGAGAGACCACAGAGAGACCAAAGAGAGTCCAAAGAGAGAGAGACCAGAGAGAGACCACAGAGAGACCACAGAGAGACCAAAGAGAGACCACAGAGAGACCACAGAGAGACCAAAGAGAGACCAAAGAGAGACCAAAGAGAGACCACAGAGAGACCAAAGAGAGACCAAAGAGAGACCACAGAGAGACCAAAGAGAGACCAAAGAGAGACCAAAGAGAGACCACAGAGAGACCACAGAGAGACCAAAGAGAGACCAGAGAGAGACTAGAGAGAGACCAAAGAGAGACCAAAGAGAGACCACAGAGAGACCAAAGAGAGACCACAGAGAGACCAAAGAGAGACCACAGAGAGACCACAGAGAGACCAAAGACAGACCACAGAGAGACCAAAGAGAGACCAAAGAGAGACCACAGAGAGACCAAAGAGAGACCACAGAGAGACCAAAGAGATACCACAGAGAGACCAAAGAGAGATACCAGATAGAGAGATTAAACCAGAGAGAAAAACTAGAGAGAGAGCACAGAGAGATACCAAATAGAGAGAGAAACCAAAGAGAAACCACAGAGAGACCAAAGAGGGATACCAGATAGAGAGAGAAACCAGAGTGAAAACCAGAGAAAGAGAGAACAGAGAGATGCCAGATAGAGAGAGAGAGACCAGAGGGAGAGCAGAGAGATAAACACATTAAAACACAATGCTATTATGTAATTGTAGCTAATGTATTTCTTTAGTGTGAGACGTGAGCACAAAAGAGCGATAATGTGAAGACTCCTCCAGTTCCCAGAGTTTAAATATTCTCCTGGCTCCAGTTTCAGTCTCTCCATCACTCTTTCATCATCGTAGTATTTTTGGGACATTTTTCCCAGTTCTTCAGCTCTTTCTCACAAGCACCTGAGGGAACACACCACTTAATCCACATTCAGGATTTGTCCGAGCAGAGAAACCTTGTGACCTTGTGTCCTGGAAACATCAAGAAGAAATACTGCTGTGGATTTAAGCTAAATGACAGGAGTGGATTAACATAACCTGTAGTAGACCACAGAGAGAGAGAGACCAGAGAGAGAGAGAGAGAGCAGAAAGACCAGAGAGTAGAGAGAGAGAGAGACACAGAGAGAGAGAGAGCAGAAAGACCAGAGAGCAGAGAGAGAGAGAGACAGAGAGTGAGATCAGAGAGAGAGAGGGAGAGCAGAAAGACCAGAGAGAAGAGAGCGAGAGAGAGAGAGACAGAGAGAGAGACCAGAGAGAGAGCAGAAAGACCAGAGAGCAGAGCGAGAGAGAGAGAGAGACAGAGAGTGAGATCAGAGAGAGAGAGAGAGAGAGAGAGCAGAAAGACCAGAGAGCAGAGCGAGAGAGAGAGACAGAGAGCAGAGCGAGAGAGAGAGAGACAGAGAATGAGATCAGAGAGAGAGAGAGAGCAGAAAGGCCAGAGAGATCAAGAGAGAGAGAGACAGAAAGACCAGCAAGAAAGAGAGCGAAAGAGAGCGAGAGAGAGCAGAGATAGACCAGATAGAGAGACCTGTGCGAGAGGGACTAGAGCGAGAAAGACCTGAGAGAGAGAAAAATAGAGACTAGAAATAGAGACCAGAGAGAAAGAGAGACCAGAGAGAGAGCAGAGAGAGACCAGAGAGAGTCCAGAGAGAGAGAGACCAGAGAGAGTCCAGAGAGAGAGACCAGAGAGAGTCCAGAGAGAGAGAGACCAGAGAGAGAGAGAGAGAGACCAGAGAGAGTCCAGAGAGAGAGAGACCAGAGAGAGTCCAGAGAGAGAGACCAGAGAGAGAGAGACTGAGGAACAGTGAAGGAGAGATCAGGAGAGCTAAGTCTTTTGAGAGTGTTTTCTGAGGTGAAAAACAAATACTTTCCATGAATCAAAGCTCTTTTGTTCTTGTTGCAGAGAAACAAACAGACGGTTTTACAAACACGATGCATTATTTGTGTTGATTTTCGCTCAAACACATTTTTGAGAACAGTGACTTTTTATATAATTAGCGGCCAAACCTATTCCTTAAATACTTGCAGGCAAGAATTTATCTAAAAGACAAAATACAAAATAAAAAAGGGTTTTATCCCATAAAATTGTTAAAGGAAAGATCATCGAACACAAGAATCCAAAATGTCTTTACAAAGCCAAGAAGGAAAAAATACTGTATCAAGCAAAAAAGAGCAAATCCATTGCCATAAGAGAAAAAGAACAAATCCTAACCCTAACAAATCTGTATTTGCTCCTCGTTTTTGGAGAGTTTTTTTCTGGAAAACGAATGAGATACCTCCTTACTCTGGCAAAATTGAAAAATAGAACTTTGAAGAAGAAAATGCAACTCATACTCATATATTTTATAGATGTAAAACAATGCAGTCCTTTTGGAAGGACAAGTTAAAATAACTTTTTCGTAAAAAAGGGCAATAAAGGCTGAAAATGTAGTTCCAGAAGACCATTCCCTATTTAGAGTTTTAAGAATTACGGCACTAAAAACTATATCTAATGTACCATCAATAGTTGATCATAGAATCTGAATTAGTCAGACGGTCTGCGCGTGACAGACTCCCAAAGTGTGGTTATTTTCATAGAGAGGTGTGAAGTCCCATGTTATCCAATGGAGACTGTACGGACACACTCACAGATTGTATGTGCAAACAGGAGCACATTTACAAACTAAATAATACATGGGGATACAGGTATCCCCATGTATCAAAAACCCTTTTTGATTTTACTTTATTTTTTCTTATTATTTGATATTATTCTCATGTAATCTTTTCCGTTGCATTTTAATTGTCCCCTGAACTGACATTCTGACCATTTGAAAAACTAAAAACGAAAGTATATAAAGAAAAAAGAACGAAAGAAAAGAAATAAAGTTCAAGATAACAGCATTTTTATCCAGCAGTAGACATAGGAATTTGTCATGGACGCTCCATGACAAATACATACATGCTGTATGAGGAGTGGGCAGAGTGTGACATCACCAGAGTGACTTGAACGTAAGCCTCAGTCCTGGACCTACAGCCTCAGTCCTGGATCTACAGCCTCGGTCCTGGGTCTACAGCCTCAGTCCTGGGTCTACAGTCTCAGTCCTGGATCTTCAGCCTTTGTAAATGTGTCTTTAAATTAGCATGCAATCACACTAAAGGCAGTGAATCTGGTCCAATATAACTTTTGTGTCCATAACAAATAAACAAATTCATAAAATAACCACTTTTAATGTGCTTTTTGATGCCAGCTTGGATTTAACCGCTTCCAACTGCTTCAGATCACAAAATGCATCTGTTTTGATGTAGAAAAGCCATATTTTGGATACAGTCACTAAACATGCATTATGTCTTCTATACAGTCGTTACTCCCATCACTGGTTACTGCAGAATTCCCATTGATTGATATTTGCAATTATGAAATCTTGAGCGCCCCCCCTCCTCCCACTCGCAGAGACGTTCCCAGTGAGCGATTGTGTGCAGAGCGAAGACCAGGGGAGGCGCAGACAAAAGTAGCATTACCAGAACAATTACCCACCATGAATCTGGTTGGAGATGTCTGAATGTTTGTTCTAATGTAAAAGCACAGCTGTGCGTCCAGCAGCGTGAGGACCACACTGTCACATTTAAATGCAAATGCAGATACCAGGAATAATAAGCAGCATTATCACATGAAGGACCATTCTGCAATCTGCGGACAAGCACATTTCACTGAGCTTTCTGCGGACCAAACACTTTTATGTCATTATAAAGCAGATGCTGAGGAGGAGGGACATTAAGAACTGGTTTTTATCAATGGCTTTTCTTCCAGCAGAGGGAACTCTAACGGTCTGTATGTGAATAATTATGCACGACTGAACTCAGTAGAAGTGCAGTGATGGAGGACTATCGACCAGTGTGGGAAACTATCTCAGAACACCTAAGACGTGTTGTACATTAGAGAAACAAGAACAAAATCTGAGGTATTCCAAGTAAATAAGAATTCTTTAATTAACTGGAACTGTCCTGGATCTACAGCCTCAGTCTGGGATCTACAGCCTCAGTCTGGGATCTACAGCCTCAGTCCTGGATCTACAGCCTCAGTCCTGGGTTTACAGCCACAGTCCTGGGTCTACAACCACAGTCCTAGATCTACAGCCACAGTCCTGGGTCTACAGCCTCAGACCACTTCTCTTGACAAAACTCCAAGTGGCAATGAGGGATGGGTCAAATGCCTCTTGTCTCTTTATCTCTGGTATCTTCCTCTTGTCTCTCTCTCTGGTCTTTCTCTGTTCTCTCTCTGGTCTCTCTCTCTCTGCAATTCTAGCACAAATCCAAACTCATACCAGTCTTCAAACTTACCCTAGCCTATGTGCCTCTAAACCTCTAAATTAGTTTTTATTTAGATCCCAGCTCCAAATGTCGTTAAAACAGCAGCAGATGCAGACTTAGCTGGACCTCATGAGTCCTGTGTCATTATTGGTTATTAGAACTCTCAATACAGATCTTGGACATGAGTTTTATTGTGTTCATAAAGAAGAGAGGTGAGTTCAGAGAGCAGTGGATCACGAGTCCTCCACACGGGACCATAACCAGAGACTATAACTCGGATGTCCCTCTGAAGTCTCCAATGATGTTTAACTGTTACATTAAGTCCAGTCTCTCAATCTCTTTATTATCTGCAGCTGAAGAGATTTATCTGAGCAGGTTTTGTTCTCTGGCTCAGAATACACACCTTTACCCAATCTAACCAATACATTATAAGATACAGATTTAATGGAGTGTAGGACTACAGTGGTCCCTCGTTTGACAGAAGTTTATGTGTGTAATTCTGTTTCAACACTAAACTCCAACAACGTCATACAACGCTAGCGTGACATGACTGTTACCTTTATTTGAAGAAAACCACTTTTGTGGCTTGTGTGAAAGAAAGGGATAAGTTTGGAGGACTTTCTCTCTCTCTGGTATCTCTTTCAGGTCTCTCTGTTCTCTTTCTGGTTTCTCTCTGGTCTCTGTCTGGTCTCTCTCTCTGGTCACTTTAGTCTCTCTCTGGTCACTTTGGTCTCTCTGGTCACTTTGGTCCCTCTCTAGTCACTTTAGTCTCTCTCTGGTCACTTTAGTCTCTCTCTGGTCACTTTAGTCTCTCTCTGGTCACTTTAGTCTCTCTCTGGTCACTTTAGTCTCTCTCTGGTCACTTTGGTCTCTCTCTGGTCACTTTAGTCTCTCTCTGGTCACTTTAGTCTCTCTCTGGTCACTTTGGTCCCTCTCTGGTCACTTTAGTCTCTCTCTGTTCTCTCTCAGGTCTCTCTGATCCCCCTCTCTCTGGTCTCTCTCTATTCTTTCTTTTTGGTCTCTCTCTGATCTTTCGCTATTCTCTTTCACTGGTCTTTCTGGACTCTCTCTCTCTCTGATCTATTTCACTTAGAAGTGTATACCATGTGTGTAAGGGGGTTTTAAAGTTTTTTTTTGATGCTAAATAAATAAAACGTACCATCTCCAACCAGCTGCAGCAGGGCCAGGTCCAGGGGTCTCTTCCATCTGGAGTTTTTGTGCAGCGCGATTCCGTATCCTGTGGTCGCAAAGACTTTCCCCGAACCGATGGTCATCACCTGCAGAAAGACCAGGACAACAACCAGTTAGGCTTCTGTGGCTTGTTTGCTCTGATCTCTCTTTCTCTTTTCTTTTCTCTTGCTGGTCTCTCTCGCTGACTTCTCTCTGGTTTCTCTCTGGTCTCTCTCTATTTTATTCCTCGCTGGTCTCTCTCTCTCTGGTCTTCCTTTTAATTTCAAATATTTTTTAAAAACTCTGTAGTATCACTTGGACCCTCATACACAATGATTCTCCTACTGACAAAGCGATTCTACGTTTATTAAACACGTCTCGAACGTCAGTAGGAATGAGTAATGCTCCTCCTCCGCCTCCTCGGTCTCACTGGTTCACATTGAGAAGAGCGATGACTGAGATCTTCATTGTTCTGGTGGTAATCAGTGCAGAGGAGGCAGAGAATGGAGCCGTAGGGATCTGCCAATCACAGAGGAGGCCGCAGTAACCGCTCCACGCCACCAGGGGGAGATTAACCACAAACGGATGGCTGTTTGTCTGTGACGAATGAGGCGTTGGATTTAATGAAGCTCAAATGAAAATAAATGAGTGTTTGAGTTTCGGGGGCAGATTTGATTCAACATGTTACAGATGAGACAGGAATGAATTTACAACTACTGTAAAATGTGTTTCTCGTATTTTGTAAAAACTACTTTGGAAAAGATGAATAAAAACATGTCAAAACCTGTTGTACTTTAAGTCGTTGCAAACCGGCCAATTCCAGTGCAGATACTTGTATATTTCTACATTGTGAGATCAATAAAGTTTATTTTATCTTCGCAGTTGATTTATCACAGATTTTATTTTCACTGACGAATGATACTTTTGTCTGAATTGTGTCCTTAGGCAAGACACTTCACCCTCATTGCCTCGAATGAGTCTGGTGTGAGTGTGAATGGTTGGTTGGTGGTCGGAGGGGCCACCACCGTGTTTGGAGTGAATGAATAATGACATGTGAAGCAACTTTGAGTGTCCAAAAAAGCGCTGTATAAAACAGATGCAATAATGCATTATTATTATTATTATTAAGTCCTTTCCCTTTTCAACTCATTTCTGTCATCTGTCAGGTTTATCCCCAACCCCACTGTGGTCTCGCTCTCTCTGGTCTCTCTCTCTCTGGTCTCTCTCTCTCTGGTCTCTCTCTCAGGTTTATCTCTGGTTTCATTGGCCCTCATTTATGAAAGTAGCGCAGAAAAGGGTGTATATTTTTGGTGTATATTCCATTTACGCCAGACTGAACGTGGGATTTATGAACGTGTGAGATACGCACATATCTGAGCGTACGCGTCGAGAACTAGCGTATTTATGAAAGTCACGCCTAGAAATATTCACAAACCGCCCCGTTTTTACAAAAGCTCAGGATGGAAGCCGGCCAGCAAATCTAGTTGGAAGCCTGAGAAGGCCTGTTAGTGACACGCACTGAGTTTATATTGAGTTTTATTGTATTATTTTGTCAAAAAAAAAACAAAAAGAAAACCCCTCTATATTATATATATGCGTTTTTTCCTTAGTGTCTAGACCCACTGCAGCACTCATCTCTTTAGAAATGAATGAATGAATGAATGAATATTAATATCTCAGCAGTGACTCTCATCTGGGTCAAGCGTCAACGACAACCTCTTGTGAATGCAATGGAGCGTTGAGAGAGAAAGGATGCGTATGAGTCTCACGGTGGGAGCCCGTTCCCACAAAAAAAAACGCTTTTCTCTGCCATCGCTGCAAAACTAATGAAGAAATATGTTGCTTTGCCAGAGGTGAATGAGACAAAAAAATAGCCATGCGTAATTACGCAGGGTCTGCCACAGATTTACGGAGAAATAGATGGTCACACATTCAGTAAGAAAGTAAGCCAGGTGTATTTGTATAATGCGACTTCACAGAGCAGGATATCAAAGCGCTCAACATTATAAAAAAACATACAGATATAACAAATACACACAAGTCAGATTTAAAAATGAAGAAACAGAAGAGGGTCCTCATCATGAACGTATCATGATCTGTGATCTATTCAAAATGTGTGTTTCCAGAGTGTTAGAGTTTTTCTGATGCGCAAATTCAAATTTTGAAACATGATGCTCCATGAAAACGCAGTTTATAATGTTGCCAGAGTGGGAACATGTTTATTGTTGTCCAAATCTTGCATTTCATGTGTGTTTTGACATGTTGTGACGAAGGGTGAAATGAGCGTACACATTTACACCACCTCCTGACTTGGTGTAAATTCTGTGCGTACCGTACGCTCACGTCCAGATTGATAAATGCCGAAAAGTGTAATTTTTTTTGCGTACGCCTCATTTACACCCTGATTTGGCGCAAGTTTCATACATGAGGCCAATTCTCTCTAGTCTTTCTCTGGTCTTTCTCTGGTCTCTCTCTCTGGTCTCTCTCTGGTCTGTCTCTCTGGTCTCTCTCTCTGGTTTGTCATGTGTCTATCTCTTTCCGGTCCCTCTCTCTGGCCTTAGTTTCTGGTCTCTCTCTGGTCTCTCTCTCTGGTCTCTCTCTGGTCTCTCTCTCTGGTCTCTCTCTGGTCTCTCTCTCTGGTCTCTCTCTCTGGTCTCTCTCTCTGGTCTCTCTCTCTGGTCTCTCTCTCTGGTTTGTCATGTGTCTATCTCTGGCCTTAGTCTCTGGTTTATCTTGGGTCTCTCTCTGCTTGTCTCCATGACGATAGATAACAATGCCCTGTGCTCTTTTCCGTCTCCCTGGAATCCCTCGTCCTTCTGCGGCGGCGTGAGCATCGCAGCAGAACCATAATGATCCGCTCTGCCTTCACCTTACAGCCCTCGTCCTTCCGGGCCATGTAGTTCAACACCGCCGCGTCGTAAATGAAAGCGTCCAGTTTCCTGCAGAGAACAAACCAGAGAAGACGAGAAGAGAACACATTAGAATACAATTACAAGATTCAGAAGCAGCTGAAACCACAGCCACAGGAGGCAGGGGAACAGGACCAGGAGAGGAGAGATAAAAGATGGAACAGTATTTGCATGTGTTAGCATCTTGTTAGCATTTTGCAACATATGGCGTCGGCAAACGTCATATCTAATGTATAAATTGTCACATTTGTTTACATATATTGTTTGGAGCCCCGCCTATAAACTAATGCAGCTTCCTGGGATTTCGCTTTTACACATCCCCAACCAGCTTTACAAATGCAGCTTGTGGAAATTCCATCTGGTAGGCTACCTGCTGCAGCCAATCAAAACCTTCACCCTCGGCCAATCACGCATCGCTGCCAACCTACGCCTATAGGGATCTCCCAGTCACATGACCCATAGCCGCATGTCAGCCATTTTGACGGAATCCGTCCGCCGACTCCGCAGCTAAGCTAGCTAGTTCAAAAACTCTCTGGAACTACATGAAAACGGAACAAAGAATTCTGAACATCAGCGGTGAGTTACCCATTGATACAACGAACCTAAATCAGATCCTCTTCAAATGTGCCCTAAAATGTTAGTTTCATGTTAATGGTTACAGCCAGGGTTATCACGATTGCTTTTTGTCACATTAAAACAGTATTTTCGTCATGAAAACGTAAACAAATAATTCTGAAAACCTCCGTGCATTTGTGTTATGTATACTGTATTCTCTGATTAACATTTAATGGTGTTGATTGATTGATAGGTATTTGTTTATTGAGAGTGGCTAGCTCGGCTAGCTTCTCTGTCCAGACAGAAGTAACAGCTAGCTTTGAGGAACCGTTTGATAAATTATAATTTAATATTCGAATATTTAAATTAATAAACAAACAAACTTCGAATATGATTTTTGTGCAAAAGTCAAAGCCCTAGTCGTGACTGATGCTAACTAAGCTAATGTTGGTAATGTTGTTTATTGCCTCCGTTTTGTTTCTTTTGGGATACGGTATAAAGATATTCCTTTTGTCTGATCACGTATCTGGTCGCATCCAACTGCACAGCATCGCTCCGGCATGATAGGAAAATTTTGCAACGACCTGTAGTATCACCAGCGGTTTTGCATTTTCTATTCCGTCAAGATGGCGGCTCCAAATGGTGTGAGGTCAGGCGGGAGGTCCCTATTAAGCAGCAGATTAAAAGTGGAAACTTTCCAACATCTAACCTATTTTGTGTCTGTGTAGTCTCTCCAGATTGAAATACAATGTGTATAACTCGTATGACTATGAAGTTTTGTAAATAGAGAATTGAAACGAGATGTGAACGTTGGGTAGGAGAAAGTGTTCTGTGAGATGAAGTGAGAAATGGGTTTGAAATTATGCAAATTGCTACAAAATGGACTAAATTGGTTTCTGATTTTCCCAAAAGACACAAATTATGCAAAACTCTCTTCTTCAAATACATACAGAGAGCCACGCAAGAATCAAGCACCAACCTGCCCCTCACAGAACGCTCTGTGCTCCGTCTGTCCTGTCTCATTATTGGTTCCTCTCTGATGGAGGAGGGTCTGAGGACAGTGACGATCCAGGATAGTTACAGTATTCACACTTTTCTCTGGTCTCTCTCTGGTCTCTCTGGTCTCTCTCTGGTCTCTCAATCTCTGGTCCCTCTGTCTCTGATCTCTCTATCTCTGGTCTCTCTCTCCAGTCTCTTTCTAGTCTCTCTCTGGTCTCACTCTGGTCTCACTCTCTGGTCTCACTCTCTGGTCTCTCTCTCTCCGATCTCTCTCTGGCATCTATCTGGTCTCTCTCTAGTCTATTTTTGGTCTCTCTCTGGTCTCACTCTGGTCTCACTCTCTGGTCTCACTCTCTGGTCTCTCTCTCTCCGATCTCTCTCTGGCATCTATCTGGTCTCTCTCTAGTCTATTTTTGGTCTCTCTCTGGTCTCTCTCTCTCCAGTCTCTTTTTAGTCTGTCTCTGGTCTCACTCTGGTCTCTCTCTAGTCTTTCTCTCTCTCTGGCATCTCTCTGGTCTCACTGTGGTCTCTCTCTGGCCTCTCTCTGGTCTCTCTGGTCTCACTCTGGTCTCTCTCTGATCTCTCTCTTGTCTCTCTCTGGCATCTCTCTGGTCTCTCTCTAGTCTCTTTCTGGTCTCTCTCTGGTCTCATTGTGGTCCCTCTCTGGTCTCTCTTTGGTCTCCCCCCCCCCCCCTCTCTCTCTGCTTCTCCCCCAGAGGTGAATGTGAATGTGTCAGTGGATCAGGTGCACAGCTGCAGGGCACATCAGTTACTCTGATCTCAGCTCTGTCTTGGTGATCACATAAAGAGATCAAGACCTGTCTGTGTTCCCCAACTGGGACCACAGACAGGTCGGGGGTACTCCAGGGTATTGGGGGGTACTCCAGGGTATTGTGGCACAAGCACACCTTGATGGTAATAGGATTGTGGAGAGAGACAGAGCGGAGATAAAAAAAAAAGCAGAAAGAGACCAGAGAGGGAGAGCAGAGAGAGACAAGACTGAGAGAACAAAGAGACCAGGGAGAGAGCAGAGAGAGACCAACCAGAGTGAGAGAGCAGAGAGAGAGAGAAACCAGAGAGTGAGAGCAGAGAGAGGAAACTTGATCTTTGGTCTGAGCAGAGCCGTCAGGGCCGACAACCCACATTTTGAAAGCATTTATGACTGGATTCAGGCATCTCTGGGCTCTAGAAGGAACCATGATGGAGCTGAAGTTAGCTGAGTGACAAATGACAAACACCTGGTATCACCTGGTCCATTAGCACCATTAAGGAAATGTGACACATGTCCAAAACACAACAAGAGTCGCCTAGTAACAGATTTATGAAAGAGAGAGCACAGAGAGGGACCAGAGAGAGGGACCAGAGCGAGACAAGAGAGAGAGACCAGAGAGAGAACAGAGAGAGAACAAAGTATAGAGATCAGAGAGAGAACAGAGAGAGAACAGAGAGAGAACAAAGTATAGAGATCAGAGAGAGAAACCTGAGAGACGTTACAGAGAGTGACTGTGGCCTCGTGCTGGTCCCAAAGTCAGGACTAAATATGGGGAGGCATCATTTCAGATTTATGCAGCTAAAACCTGGAACAGTCTTCCTGAAAATGTCAGACAGGCTTCTTCTCTGACAATGTTCAAATCCAGGTTTAAAACAGTTCTGTTTTGCTGCAAAAACCCTCTTTTTACCCTCTGTGATCATTTATTATTTTCTCTGTTGTTTTGTTGACCATTTTGAGTTGCCTGTATGAACTGCGCTATACAAATAATATTGCCTTGTCACTCTCTCCTCCACATGCACCTGCAATAGGATAACTTTTCGCTATCACATTTATACAAACTCTACTTCTGCAACACGTTCTTTGTAAATATGTACTGAACGACAGGTGGAAGGGGAGAGATTGGGAGAGAGGGAGAGAGAGATTATAACCCCCGCAATGCATCATGGGAGTTCTAATCAGCTCTGCGTCAAATCAGCCAGAACAGCAGCACGGGGCCTGTCCTACTGAATATTTGAAGAGAGCAGAGCGGGAGAGAGAGCAGAGAGAGAGAGAGAGAGAGAGAGAGAGAGAGAGAGAGAGAGAGAGAGAGAGGGAGAGATCAAGCAGGGGGGAAGAGCAGAAAGAGAGAGAGCAAGCAGGGTGAAAGAACAGAGAGAGAGACCAGAGAGAGAGAGAGAGCAAGCAGGGGGAGAGACCAGAGAGAGAGAGAGAGAGAGAGAGAGAGAGAGCGGATATATAGTATCTGCTCTATGGTCTCTGCACTGTGTTATCTGCTCTATAGGCTCTGCTCTATAGTCACTACTCTATTGTATCGTCTCTATGTTATCAGCTCTATAGTCTCTGCGCTATAATATCTGCTCTATAGTAGCTGCCCTATTGTCCCTGCTCAATACTCTGCGCTATGCCATCTGCTCTATAGTCACTGCTCTATAGTCACTGCTCTATGGTATCTGCTTTGTAGTTAACCCGGTGTGAGCCTCTGGAGGAGCAGACAGAGTCCCGCAGTGCAGTCTCTATCTATTATTTAAACCTCTTTGCTTCTTTAAACTGAATTAACGAAGCAACTTCCAACAGTTTTTCTGCGGCTTCAGATGAAACAGAGGCAAACACGACACACGCTCAGGTCCTGGAGGTGTAAAGAGGCGTATAGCTGCAGCTGTTTAGCCGAAGGCGAGAGAAACCAACGTCCATATAAAAAAACTATTGTTGTCTGTCCTCAGGCTGTGGCCACTGCAGCTTTACTGAAATGTATAATGAACTAAACGCAAAATGTCTTTATCAGACCAGAGAGAGAGACCAGAGATAGAGAGAGAGAGAGAAAGAGAGAGAAAGACCAGAGAGAGAGAGAAAGACCAGAGATAAATCAAAGAGAGAGAAAGAGACCACAGAGAGACCAGTGAGAGACCATTGCAGAGAGAGACCAGACACAGACCAAAGAGAGACTGCCCTCAGGCTTGGTCCACTGGAGTTCTACTAAAAAGTTTAGAATGACATTAAAGTTCAGCTTATTTCATTGATCCTCCTCATTTTTAAAACACAAATATAGATACATTTCTGGCTCAATTCAAAATACTCATTTTAAAGTCCTTGACAGTGTAATCCCTGTGGAGCTGACTGAACAAAGTCAAATTCAGAACTAGAGAGAGAAAAAGAAACCAGATATAGACCAGAGAGACACAGAGAAAGAGACTAAAAAGAGAAGAGAGAGAGCAGAGAGAGCAGAGAGAGAGAGCAGAGAGAGACCAGAGAGAGAACAGAGAGAGAGAGACTAAAAAGAAACCTTGGAGAGACCAGATAAAGGCTTCATGGCAGGTTTGCACTATCCATCTATATACAGTCAAGTGCAAGAAACAGACCAGCGCCCGTCCTGATTGGCTCTTTAGTTGCCAAGTTGTTGCTACCCACAAATATGGCTCCAGCTTCTTGTCCATGGATCCAGTTTGAGATAGCCCCAAAGCTGCTTCTTCCTCAGCTTAAATATCCACACCACTCTCAGTTTCTGTCCTGGTTCTGCTCCCAGGTCCCACTCACTTGTCCCGCTCCCTGGTCCCACTCACCCGGTCTTGAGGTTGTCGATGGCGTCCTCCACTCCTCGCTGGTTGTTGCGGATCATGTACTGGTGCATGTTGGGATAGTTGGAGCGGATGTTCTCCTCTGTGCTGCCGTTGGGGACCGTCCCGAAACGCAGAGGTGGATACTGCTCTGTGGGGTGCTGGAACTGAGGAACACACACGTACATACACAAACACACACACACACACACACACACACACACACAGAGAGGGTCAAACAACACACAACACACCTAAAACATGCAAAAGTGACTTTATCAATTCTGTGTTTTCTCCATATGAAGACTAGAGAGAGACCAGAGAAAGACAGACCAGGGAGAGATCTGAGAGATAGCGACCAGAGAGACGAGAGAGAGAGACCAGAGAGAGAACAGAGAGAGATCAGAGCAATAGCGACCAGAGAGAGAGACCTGAGAGCTAGACCAGAGTGAGACCAAAGAGAGACAAAAGAGAGAGAGACCTGAGAGGAGCACAGGGACTGGATTCCTGTTAGGACTTTGAGTTGCCTTGTGTATAAACTGTGCTAAACGTATAAACTTTGGTACTTGTGAAATGGAAGTGATGGAACAGGACGTGTTTCTCTGACGGCAACTGAGACTTTTGAACCACACATTCTTCACTGTTTTCTTTTGTGTCTGAGTCCTTGAAAACCATTTCACATTCTCACACAGGCTCTGACGCCTGAACACAGACAAAGGGGTGAATATTTAGAGAAAGAAAATGCAAATAAACTACGCAAACATCCAAACCTTTCTTTCACTCTGGTTCAAAGGTCCCATATTGCGCTTTATGAATTTTCATTGATTCCCTCAAGCTTCATCTGGCTAAAGTGTTAGCATCATGTGACTTAAGTGTTGGCATCATGTGACTTAAGTGTTGGCATCATGTGACTTAGGAGCAGTGGGGGAGGGTCCCAATTCAAAAGTGGCCAAAATGACGTGCGCTGACATGCTTGCAATACCACCCCGGGCCGATGGGGGTGGACCCAGAAGTGGAATTAGCCAATGCTAACATATAGCATTGGCAGACCTCTCAAAAACGTCTTTACAGGATGGACCAAAAGTTGGCTCTTGGCCCAAAGCTCCGTTCCACATGTGTGTCAATGCTGAGGGTGGATTTTTTTGGTCCACTCTAGTTTACTTGCTGTGAATTTTTGAAGTCACTCGTTCAAATGAATGGAGCTGCGGCGGCTGACGCATGCGCAGATGCGTTTTTTCACAATTTTCTTGTGGGCGGGACCACTCGCGGCCATTTTGGATTGCTCCAGTAGAGCACATTTTTTGGCCCATTAGTTAGAACGGCGGAGATATGCGTGACTCTGTCCATTAATCTATGCAGTCTATGCTTAGGAGTTAGAATTATGTGGGTTAAGTGTTAGCATCATGTGACTAAAGGGTTTTGGACTTGGAGAACATGTCACTCGAGGATTCGTCTCTGGGCTCGCTGGGTGTTTTTGATGTAAATATGTGACAACAGTATTGGACCCCGAAGATGAAGAATGAAGCAATTGTGGCTGGACTTTGTTCACAGGATCTGTCTCTGAAACCAACGACGGATCTACAGCCTAAGTCCTAGATCTACAGCCTCAGTCCTGGGTCCTACAGCCTCAGTACTGGATCTACAGCCTCAGTCATGGATCTACAGCCTCAGTCCTGGGTCTACAGCCTCAGTCCTGGGTCCACAGCCTCAGTCCTGGGTCTACAATCTCAGTCCTGGGTCTACAGCCTCAGTCCTGGATCTAAAGCTAAATGCAGTATGGGTGACTCATCATACTTTCTATTCTTTCATCCAACCAGACACTGGTAAAATGTTTCATTCTCTTTACAATTTACAAAACGCTTTAATTACAGTCTTTTCTCTCAGTGTTTGTGTGTGTGTGTGTGTGTGTGTGTGTGTGTGTGTGTGTGTGCAATTATGAGTGTATGAGAATGTACACACAGTACAGATAAATGACTGTTGATGCTCCTCAAACAAATGTGCATACATACATAGAAACAGGACTCAGATTGAGATTACCATTGAGATTAAAAGTAAGATTGAGAATGAGATAGAAATAAAGATGGAGATAGAGATTCAGATTCTTTGTTTGTACCTTTTTATCGGAGAGTCCGGACACTGTGTCAATGTACTCCTCCTGGATCATGAAGGCAGCCAGGTTTGCAGTGTATGAGGCCAGAAAGATCACAGCGAAGAAGGCCCAGACCAGAACCTGCAGAGAGAGGGGAGAGAGAGGGAGAGAGTGAGGACCTGACCAGAACCTGCAGAGAGAGGGGAGAGAGGGAGAGAGTGAGGGTGAGGACCTGACCAGAACCTGCAGAAAGAGAGGGGAGAGAGGGAGAGAGGGAGGGTGAGGACCTGACCAGAACCTGCAGAGAGAGAGGGGAGAGAGGGAGAGAGTGAGGGTGAGGACCTGACCAGAACCTGCAGAGAGAGAGGGGAGAGAGGGAGAGAGTGAGGGTGAGGACCTGACCAAAACCTGCAGAGAGAGAGTGGAGAGAGGGAGAGAGGGAGGGTGAGGATCTGACCAGAACCTGCAGAGAGAGAGGGGAGAGAGGGAGAGAGTGAGGGTGAGGACCTGACCAAAACCTGCAGAGAGAGGGGAGAGAGGGAGAGAGTGAGGGTGAGGACCTGACCAAAACCTGCAGAGAGAGAGGGGAGAGAGGGAGAGAGGGAGGGTAAGGACCTGACCAGAACCTGCAGAGAGAGAGGGGAGAGAGGGAGAGAGTGAGGGTGAGGACCTGACCAGAACCTGCAGAGAGAGAGGGGAGAGAGGGAGAGAGTGAGGGTGAGGACCTGACCAGAACCTGCAGAGAGAGAGTGGAGAGAGGGAGAGAGGGAGGGTGAGGATCTGACCAGAACCTGCAGAGAGAGAGTGGAGAGAATCACAACCTTTCAAGAGGTAGGGAGTGGGGAGAATAAGGGTGAGGCCCAGACCAGACCCTGCACAGAGAAAGGGGAAAGAGGGAGGATGGGGATGGGGACCGGAACCTTGAGAGATGGAGAGAGAGTGGGAGAGAGTGAGGGTGAGTGTGACCACCAGAACCTGCAAGAAGGGAGAGAGAGTGGGGCAGAGTGAGGGTGAGGACCAGAGCATACAGACAGAGAGGGGGGGTTTGAGTGAGGGTGAGGACCAGAACCTACAGAGAGAGAGAGAGAAGGGGAGAATGAGGGGGAGTTTGAGGGCCAGAACCTGCAAAAAGTGAGAGAGAGAATGGAAGAGTTAGGGTGAGGACCAGAACCTGCAGAGAGAGAGAGGAGAGGAGAGGGGGAGTGAGGACCAGAACATGCAGAGAGAGAGAGGAGAGGGGGAGTGAGGATGAGGACCAGAACATGCAGAGAGAGAGAGAGGAGAGGGGGAGTGAGGATGAGGACCAGAACATGCAGAGAGAGAGAGAGGAGGGGGGAGTGAGGACCAGAACCCAGGACCAGAGTAGTAGAAATAACATAGCAGTTTCACATTCAGCAGGACTCAGCTTTGACTTCTCGGAGCTCACAGTATAATATAACTCATCTTTCATTTTCCTCTTTATGTATAATATGCAAATAATCTGTGACACATCCCAGAATGCACTGCTCCTGGACCAGAGGCACACATCAAGAAACGTCCCAGAATGCACTGCTCCTGTAGCCTGGCCTTAGCCATCCGTACACTCCGCTCAATCATCATTTCACTGCATGTAACGTCTGGGTCTGGTCCCTGTGTTAGCGATTACAATCGGTTGAATTTTGACCGATCAATCAGAGAGCGCGGAAGGCGGGTGTTGTAGTTAGTTGTGAGTGATGTCAAGAGTTTGCGTCGAACGGGAAGGTCGTAGTTTGGCAATGGCGAAAAATGCGATAGTAAAGTAATCCGGCCTGGTTCTATCAAGAAATTGAAGCCGGAGCAAAAGGAATGTTTAGCAAATGTTATCGCTAGAAAAAAAATTTGGCGCTACTCCCCGAGGGCTACGTTAGCGGCAAAGGATATGGCTAGCCTAAATGCTAACAGCAGACTCGGGCGCACTACATGCGTCACGGTAAACTCAGATCAAATCGTTTCAATCTGCAAAAGGAGTTAACCCCTCCCACCTGTAAACGGAGCTCAATGGAGCACCTCCAGACCTTAGTATGAAATGTCATTTGTACAATGGTGTGATTCGACCAGGCTACACATGTAGAAACGTCCCAGAATGCACTGTTCCTGGACCAGAGACACACATTTAGAAACGTCCCAGAATGCACTGCTCCTGGACCCGGGAACAATGGGTGCGGGTCCCGGCTCCATACAATCTCACTCCGGGCTGGTGGAGGTGTACCCGGAAACAGAATTGCCCAATGCTTTTCTTGCCTTTCGAAAACAGCTTAACAGGGTGGCCCAACGCTACGTCCCAGATGTGTGTCAGTGCTCTGGGGAGTTTTTTCTTTTTTTGGACCAGTCTAGTTTAGCCGCTGTGGACTTCAGAATACACTTGTTAAAAGAATTAGGCAAGTGCCGGCTGACGCATGCGTTAGCCTGCCTCTCGGCCATTTTGAGAGAGCTCCGTAGAAAGCAAAAGTGGTGGCATATTAGTTTCAATGGCGGAGAAAGGCATGACTACTTCTGTTAATAAGTACAGTCTATGCTCGGGACACATGTAGACACGTCCCAGAATGCACTGCTCCTCAGTTATGTAGCTCTTAACTCCAGACATGCAATCAGAGACGTCTGTATGTCATCTGAGTCTTGACAGAGGGGGAGTCAGTGGGAGTGAGGCTACTGAATAGTTAAATACTTGCCAAATATTATAATGGACAAAGAACTACTCTGTTACTCTTCTCGATGGTTCTGGAGTCCATACAGACACAACTGAAGTTTGTGCAATAACAGTCAGATCTCTGCATTCCGGCTGTTATTGCACAAGAGTGTAAGTGACATATGAACCAACTCTGAGAAGCACAGGGACTGGCCTCCTGCTGGTCCCTGTGCTCCATCAGGGCACCATGCTTTTCAGATCTATCCAGATGAAATTGGGAATTGTCTTCCTGAAAATTTGAGACAAGCTTGTTCTCTGACAATAATCAGATCCATCTTAAAAACAGTTCTTTTTCACTGCAACAACTGAACGATTTTTTAATTGACTAGTTTTAATGAATTGTGATTATTTATGATTGTTTCTATCTTGTTTGACTCTCCTTCTGTATAAACTATAGCCTGGAAAAATTAACGGACAAAGTCACGCCAATCTCCGTCATTGAATCTAATGTGCCATCAATTTTGGCTTCTATTGGGGTTTTTCAAAATGGCCGCAGGCAGCCCCTCCCGCAGGATAATGTAAAAAAAAAAATCAAATTCGTGCATGCGTCAGCCAGCACCAGCCCAAAGAAGACCCCATACCAAAGCATTGGATAATTCTCTTTCTGGGTCCACCCCCACAGACCGAAGTGGGATTGCAAGCACCACTCATGGACCTGGTATAAACCCTGCTATATGTTCTCGTGAATCACATAAAAACCCACTATAATCCAAAATGTCTTTGGGGAGCGACTTTTTCTCAGTGATCTTGAGTTGTTTTTTTCCCTCACTGAGCACATTCAAACCCACACATTCTCTCTCTCTACACCTTTTTCTCTTTGACCCAAATTTGTAAAGCCGTGGAGCACTAATGGCCACTTGAGGTGATTGTCTTTGTCAGAGAAAACACTTCACGATAAAAACTTGCCTCCGTCGATTTGGAGAGAAAAGGTTTGACTGAGATTTCTCGGTAGGAAAGCGAGAACTAAAAGAGTTCTGGCTGTGATAAACTGATGATTGGAGGTTTCTCTGCAGGCGCCGCGCACTAACGAAGACGGGAAACGATTTACAAACAGCTCAAGTTTGTAATACGTTACCAACAAGTGCGAGAAGCGGTGGTTTCTGCAGGAGTCCCATGGATATAATGGAACAGTTGTGTTTTTATATGCAATAACAGAATCTATAACCAAGATTTCTCCCAGTTTGAAACAAAGACACATTTGCTATTAAAAAAATAACTGCAAAACGGCGCTATATCATCTGCTCTATTAGAGAAAAAGAAGAGAGAAACACCGAAATACTAGATTGACCGGAGAGAGAGGGAGGGAGAGAACAGAGAGATACCAGATACACAAGAGAGACCAGAGAGAGAGAGAGAGAGAGAGACAGAGAGAGAGAGAGAGAGACCAGAGAGCAACCAGAGAGGGAGAGAGACAGCAGACTGAGATACCAGATACACAAGAGAGAGCAGAAAGAGAGAGAGACAACAGAGTAAGATACCAGATACACCAGAGAGGGAGAGAACAGAGAGATACCAGATACAACGGAGGGGGAGAGGGGGAGAGAGAGAGAACAGAGAGAAACACCAGAGAAAGAGAGACCAGAGAGAGAGAGAGAAAGAACAGATGCACCAGAGAGACCAGAAAGGGACCCAGAGGAGAAGAGAGAAGACCAGAAAGAGACCGGTGGGACCAAAAGGAGAACAGAGAGAAAGAACAGATATATAAGAGAGTGTCATGGGGGGAGGCAAATGAAGGACTCAAAATGCAGGAAATGCCAAAATAAAAATAATTTAATGATGAAAAAACAAAAGGGTAGATGAAAACATACTCAAAAATCCAAAACCACAGGGAACCAGGAACGGAACAAAACAGAACGGACAAGGACATGAACAAGACAATACAATGGACCAGCCACATGGGGAGAGGAGCACAGGGTACATATAGACACAGACACCGGTGAAACACATCAGGCCGGGGCAGACAATCAACACAGGGGCAAACAGGACAGGAAGTACTAAAACCAAACCACAGAGAACAATGTCAAAATAAAACTAAAATATAAAAATAAAACCCACACCATGACAGTACCCCCCCCCTCCAAGGGACAGCTCCCAGATGTCCCAAACCCCAAACACAAACCAGGGAGGGTGGAGGGGGGCGCGGCGGAGGGACCAAAGGCAGTTCAGAGGCTGAAAAACTAAGGTCCAAAGCAATGTCCAAACCAATCTGGGACCGGAGCTGAAGCCCAGTGATGACCTTCCATACAGAACTGGCTCACCCCAGGCGGAAACAAATGCCCAGCGGTGACTCAGACGGGAACAAAACCACCCCAGACGGAGAACAATGTCTGGCGGTGGAAACAGGTAAAGGGAAGGAGAGGTCATCAAAGGGCAGCAGGCAGACACAGGTGGGGAATCCAGGAAGACGGTAACATCTAGACGAGAGCTTCACTGTTGACCCCACAACAAGCCAAGGGGAAGGGACCAGAAGACCACCCCGGACGGACGATAATGCCCGGCGGTGGTGCAGGACCAATAACCACCCCAGACGGAGTTCCTTGCCTGGCGGTGGTTCAAGGTAGCAAGTCGAGAGGTAGCAGTGAAGGGAAGGATGTCCGCAAAAAATAAATAAAAACCTGGTGAATGGGACGATGAAGTGGGAGCAGGTGTGGAAAAAAGGCATTCCGCTGAGTCCATTTGTGGCTGGTCCATTCTGTCATGGGGGGAGGCGAATGAAGGACTCAAAATGCAGGAAATGCCAAAATAAAAATAATTTAATGATGAAAAAACAAAAGGGTAGATGAAAACATACTCAAAAATCCAAAATCACAGGGAACCAGGAACGGAACAAAACAGAACGGAACGGACAAGGACATGAACAGACAATACAATGGACCAGCAACATGTGAGAGGAGCACAGGGTACATATAGACACAGACACAGGTGAAACACATCAGGGCGGGGCAGACAATCAACACAGGGGCAAACAGGACAGGAAGTACAACTAAAACCAAACCACAGAGAACAATGTCAAAATAAAAATAAAACCCACACCATGACAGAGAGAGGCCAGATAGAGAGAGCAGTAATGTGTAGAGAGACTAGAGAGAGACTAGAGAGAGACTGGAGAGAGACTGGAGAGAGACTGGAGAGAGACTGGAGAGAGACTGGAGAGAGAACAGGGAGAGTGACAAGTGCGAGTAGCGGTGGTGTCTGCAGGAGTCCCATGGATATAATGTGAGGCAGAAAATTAATCTATAACTGAGCTTTCTCTCAAAGACATTTCACATTCGCTGTTGAAATTATAATCGTAAAGCAGCTCAATAATCTGCTCCGCTCCATGCTCTGGTAATAACTGTTTAAATGTATTGTAATAAAAAAAAGATCTGGTCCTACTTCCACTATGGCCCGAGGGTCGGTATCATTGCTGCTATTACTTTAAGAAAGCTGCATTTGAGGAGAAAAGCAAATTCCAGTGGAGTCTTGTTTATCTCGTTGATCCTTGCCTTAAGGCTATAAAACCCTTCTCCACGCACTTATACATACACTATTACTTGGGAGTCCTGGATCTACAGTCTCAGTTCTGGATCTACAGTCTCAGTTCTGGATCTACAATCTCAGTCCTGGGTCAGTAGAGCCCTGCACTTGAGCCCTTGGCCCGAGGGGCCCGACAGCCCGAGGGCCGGGCTTCGGGCCGAGGACCGTATAATGACCTCAGACACGGGCCGGGCTTGGGCTCTCGCACTTTCAGAGCGACAGATTACATTTACGAACGCACCCACTGAATATAGCATTCTATCACGCTGTAGTGTTTGTTGTGCTGTGTAGTGTTGTCATTGACGACACACAGCGTTACTTACAAGTGTGTTGTGGCATCTGTGTATCATACAGCTGTGTATCATACAGCTGCGGCCGTTCACTCCGCACACACAGAATTCATTGCAACACATCACTACCATGTATAACTCCGCCCTCTAGCCAAGCCTGCGTTCATATCAGAAATACTACACTACACTACATTGTTTACATACTACGCTAAAACATTGTTATGGGAGGTAAAAAATAAATAAATAAAGTCGGCCTTGATGCGGGTTTCGGGCCTGAATATTCAGAAACCATATCGGGCCAGGGCCGGGCCCGGGCCCAGATAATAGGCCCGTGCAGGGCTCTAGTCTACAGCCTCAGTCCTGGATCTACAGCCTCAGTTCGGGATCTACAGCCTCAGTCCTGGATCTACAGCCTCAGTCCTGGATCTACAGCCTCAGTCCTGGATCTACAGCCTCAGTTCTGGATCTACAGCCTCAGTCCTGGATCTACAGCCTCAGTTCTGGATCTACAGCCTCAGTTCTGGATCTACAGCCTCAGTCCTAGATCTGCTCCTTTGCCATTACTGTAATTCCTGTGTTTGAACCGATTGATTTTCAGATCTCTTTTTGGCGAATCCACAATGTTATAAAGTCCTCAGAGACTACTGGGGCCATACACAAATAAATTGAATAAAACTGACCATGATTTTGCTGGTGGTTCCTCGTGGGTTCTCCACAGGCACAGAGTTGTTGAAGACCAAAGCCCACAGGAGCCACACAGACTTCCCAATGGTGAATTTGGACCCTCCAGACTCTGAAAGAAAAACACATGGCTTTACTCACAACAGAGAGAGACCATAAGGGGACCAGAGAAACTCCAGAGGGAGACCAGATGGAGACCAGAAAGAAACCACAGTGAGACCAGAGGGAGAGAGAACAGAGAGAGAACAGAGAGAGACCAGAGAGAGTACCAGAGGTGAGATCAGAGGGAGACCAGAGGGAGACCTGAGGGAGACCAGAGAGAGACCAGAGGGAGACCAGAGAGAAATCAGTGAGAGAGAAAACAGAGACAGTCCAAAGAGAGACAAGAGAGGGACCAGATAGAGAGAGAGACTAGAGAGAGGGACACCAAAGAGAGACTAGAGAGAGAGAGACCACAGGAAGTCCAGAGAAGGACCAGAGAGAGACTGGAAAGAGACCAGAAATTTCCCTGGGGTGAACTTGCACCCTCCAGGATCTGCATGAAACAAAAACAAATTATTTGAATCTCATATTTGTCACACTTTTATAAACAAAACAAATGCTGCTTATAATTATTTCTGCTGTTTAGAATTTGGCGTCACTTTGGCTCAAACTTTGACTGAGGGTAAGACTCCGCTCAACCGTTCTGAAATTACATTTTAAATTGTTTGTTTGGAGGAGAATATTAACCAGAGAGAGACCAGCGAGAGCAGAGCATAGAGAGACCAGAGAGAGACCAGAGAGAGACTAGAGAGACCAGAGGGAGACCAGAGAGAGATCAGAGAGACCAGAGAGACCAAATAGAGACCAGAAAGACACCAGGGAGAGACCAGAGAGAGACCAGAGACACCAAAGAGAGACCAGAAAGAAACCAGGGAGAGACCAGAGAGACCAGAGAGAGACCAGGTGAGAGACCAGAGGGACCAGAGAGGCCAGAGAGAGACCACAAAGAGACCAGAGGGACCAGACAGAGACCAGAGAGACCCGAGAGACCAGAGAGAGACCAAAGAGAGACCACAGACTAGAGAGAGAAAACTTGAACTTGTACTCAAGACTCCGCTCAACCGTTCTGAAATTAAATTTTAAATAGATGTTGGTAATAATGCATTAGTTTTTGCAGGAGAATATCAAGCTTCTGGTGTAATTGTGAATATTGAATAAGGGTCTATTTGGCGATGTTGTTGATTCCTGGAGAAACAAAATTAGACTTTTAAATGTGGTCCACAGCTTTCAGAACATAATGAGGAGCTGCTTCTGTGTCTCAGACGGACAGTCATTTACTCTGCAGAGAATCATTATTTTAAGTTCATTCCGGGTCCATTTTCATTAGCGCGACTTAATTTGAAAACCAAATCCTCAACGCATCCCTGTGAAGTGTTTGGATTAGAATGTCCCAGAGGTCTCCCATCACAGTGCTACCCAGATCCAGTCATGCTTGGCTTCAGAGACAGGATCTGGCTCTCACCTGCAGGTGGTGCCAGTAGAGAAGTAGTGGTTGAAGCGAGAGAGACCAGAGAGAGAGCAAAAAGAAAGAGAGAGAAAAAGAGCATAGATAGACAGACCAGAGAGAGACCAGAAAGAAAGAAAGAGAGAAAGAGCAGAGAGAGAGAGACAGACCAGAGAGAGACCAGAAAGAAAGAAAGAGAGAAAGAGCAGAGAGAGAGACAGACCAGAGAGAGACCAGAAAGAAAGAAAGAGAGAAAGAGCAGAGAGAGAGAGAGACCAGAGAGAGACCAGAAAGAAAGAAAGAGAGAAAGAGCAGAGAGAGAGAGAGACCAGAGAGAGACCAGAAAGAAAGAAAGAGAGAAAGAGCAGAGAGAGAGAGAGACCAGAGAGAGACCAGAAAGAAAGAAAGAGAGAAAGAGCAGAGAGAGAGAGAGACCAGAGAGAGACCAGAGAGGGAGATCAGTGAAGGAGACCAGCGAGGGAGGCCAGAAGGGGAGAGGGATTCTTGCAATACCATCCCCAGGCCGATGGGTGTGGACCTCTACAGGATGGTCCAAAAATCGGCTCTTGGCCAAGAACTAGGTTCCACATGTGTGGCAATACAGAGAGAAGTATATTTTTTTGGACCAGTCCAGTTTAGTCGCTGTGGAATTTTGAAGGCACTAATTAAATGGCTACTGGATTCACATTTTCCTGCCCTCGCGGCCATTTTGAAACTGCCCATGGAAGGCGACAGTGGTGGCACATTAGTTTGAATGGCGGAGATGGGTGTAACTATGTCCGTTAATATTTACAATCTATGGACCAGACAGACCAAAGACAGACAAGAGAGAGAGAAAGAGAGCAGGGAGAGAGGACAGACCAGAGATAAGTGAGAAGAAGATCAGAGAGAGAAAAGGCGTGACAAGGGAAAGACCAGAAAAAGAGACCAGACCAAAACCAGAGAGAAAAAACTATACCTCACTGAGCTAGCAGGTTAGCATTGTCCGTTTCTATACAGTCTATGATTAACACGGTTGTTGTTAATTTTTTATTTTAACCTGTAATAATGATGTCGCCCCATTGCTCCAATCATTCATAACAAATACATTTCTCTGTCATTATCCCACTCGTCTCTCTGTGTGTGCAGCTAGCATGCTGCCTCTGTTTCCTCAATTAAGCTCTAATAAAGTCAGAGAGGTGGGAGCGGACTGTTGTTGTGACTGGAAAAATAAAATAAAAACTATAATAATTCCTGATCATTTGAGTTTGAAATCAGCCTCCCTCTGTTGCTCGCATTGGGGGTGACGGCGGCGATAATGTGAGAGGAGGGGAGCGCTCTGATTAGTCTCTGTGCAGATTAACATTGTTTCTCCCACTTCAAGTTGAGGAAAATTCACAAGTACTGGATCCACAGCCTCAGTAATAGCAGTAGCAGTAGTAGCAGCAGTAGTAGCAGTAGCAGTAGTAGCAGTACTTACTTTTGGCGCTCTGGAGGCTGCGGTTGTATCCCACTGGGCTGAAGAACTCAAAGATGAAGACGGTTACTGCGACGACGGACAAACACATGACGAACATCATGACCCACACGGCAGGACTGTACGGCTCTGTAAGATAAGATAAAATATACTTTATTGATCGTGTGCTGGAGAATCACTCCGCAGCAAACGTAGTGCTGGTTCTTCTGTCCTATAGTGCACTTGTGACTTAAAGTGACTTATTGTACAGTCTGACAGCGGTGGGGATAAATGCCTGCGATAGTGCTCCTTCATGCACTGGACACACAGCGCTCGATGGCGGAGTCGTCGGAGAACCTCTGCAGGTGACAGCTGTGTCACCTGCAGTATGTATGTGAAGTCTGAAGTGTAGATGGTGAAAAGAAACGGTGAGAGGACAGTGCCCTGAGGGGCCCCAGTGCTGCAGACTACCACCTCAGACTCACAGCTGCGCAGCCGCACGTACTGTGGTCGGTCTGAGAGGTGGTCAATGGTCCATGCAGTGAGGTTACTGTCCAATCCCACGTCCTCCATTTTCCCCCGCAGCAGTGCCGGTCTGATGGTTGAAAGCACTGGAGAAGTCAAAAAACATGAAGCTCCAAAAAAGAAAAACAGGAGACGGAGGAATGAGGAGAAGCAGGAGAAAAGAAAGAAGAGGAGGAGGGGGAGAGGAGTGAAGAGGAGAGAAGAAAAAGGAGAGAGAGCAACAGAGAGGAGAGAGGAGGTGGATGAAGAGAGAGGAGGAGGAGAGAGGAGCAAAGTGGAGGAGGTCAGATACAAGTGCTCTCACTACAAATGTCTCCTTAAATACAGGCTTTGTCGCTTTAGGAGTATGAGATTCTAGCAGCACTGGGTGAGCACTTTCCCTTTGACTAGAATATGACAATAATGAATGACTTGAAAACCCCAGACTGTGACGACAGTGCATCCACATGTGTTCTTTCACTTTCATTGAGTTTGAGCCCAGTCCCTGTGCTCCTCAGAGTCCCAGCAGGAGGCCAGCCCCTGTGCTCCTCAGAGTTGGTTTGCATGGCACTAACATGTCACAGAAGGACTTTGGTGCGAGGCCATGGAGAGACTTGTTTAAAGTCTTTTCTCTGAGCCATATGAAGCAGAGACAAAAGACCAGGACTAATACAATGCTACTTCCTGGTTCTAGTCAGGGCTGCAGTGTAGAATAGAGTAAAGCAGAATATGAAAGATAGATGTTGTATTTCAGGCGCAGTTGTAATCAAATTAAATCCAAGTAAAGCCGCCTTTTGTCGCACAACAATACACTTCTAAACGTGTGTCCATCTCTCTCTCTCTCCCTCTCTCTCCTCTCTCTCTCACTAATCTAAAAAAACAATGTGTCTTTATGTGTGTGATTGTTTGTGCTCTTCAGCTAAATTTATCTAATCAAAATGACTCAAACTTCCTGAAACTTCTCCACAGATTTGATCACAAATAATTGTCTGAGTAAGAGTATAATCTCTCAGACAGATGTGAGAGGACTGGAGAGAGAGCTGGCACCGCGGGACGTCCCATCTCCTGCTCATCTGATTAAAAGCAATCATAACAAGGGTCACAAATTGACCCAAAATGAAAACTTATAATTAGAAGATTTATTCAGATAAGAATGTGACTGTCGCCAAGTCAGAGATAACTTTTGAAAGACGCTATTTGCACTGTGTCTCTGCCTCACTTATGCAGATTCAGGACTGAACACGGGAGGGTAGCTTTTCAGATTCCTGCTGCTAACATCTGGACTGAGCCTTCTGAAGTCACCTGTCCAAACCGCCTACATTTACTGTTTATTTGAGCTTTTTATAGCTATTTCTTATCAACAAAGACACTTCACATGTCATTATTAATTCACCCCATTCATGGTGGTGATAAACCACCACTGTAGCCACAGCTGCCCTGGGGCACACTGACAGAAGGCGAGGCAACAAGTGCCAGGGAATATGGGTGAGGTGTCTTGACTAAGAACACAACGATCCAGTTTGGCACTTTACAGCTACAGCCGCCCCGCTGTGGCACCTGGTGTTCCCAGAGGTTAAGTATCTTTCCAAGGACATAACAACAGCAGACATCAGTGGGAGTCGGTAGAGTAAGTGTTGTAGTGGGCTCAAACCCACGACCATCAGGCTCAAAGGCCAATGCTCTACCAACTGAGCCAAATGGCAGTTTTATTATTATGACAAAGAGGACTCTGCCCTTCTCACTCTAAGTCTGTATATATACATAGAGCTATACTGTATGTGTAGAATTAGCAGTGCATCCTGGATCCTTGGATCCAGGATGCACTGACAGAAGGACACGAGGCTCAGGAGGCTTTAGATTTCCCCTCAACAGCAGACTGATGGACAACACCAGATGTTAGTGACTGAACAGGACTTGGATAGATAGAGATATACCATAATGACTTAGTAAACTTCTGCCTGAGAGCTCCAGGCTGCTCCTGCTGCTTCTCCGCCACAGCTATTCACATTCACTATATGTCAGGACTAAATAAACTGCAGACAAACAAGTTCTCAGGGTAAAGTTATGCTTCAACTCTCTCTGGCTCTGTGACGGTTGGATCTTCAGCCTCAGTCCCTGGATCTACAGCCTCAGTCCTGGATCTACAGCCTCAGTCCCTGGATCTACAGCCTCAGTCCTGGATCTACAGCCTCAGTCCCTGGATCTACAGCCTCAGTCCCTGGATCTACAGCCTCAGTCCCTGGATCTACAGCCTCAGTCCTGGATCTACAGCCTCAGGCCCTGGATCTACAGCCTCAGGCCCTGGATCTACAGCCTCAGTCCCTGGATCTACAGCCTCAGTCCCTGGATCTACAGCCTCAGTCCCTGGATCTACAGCCTCAGTCACTGGATCTACAGCCTCAGTCCTGGATCTACAGCCTCAGTCCTGGATCTACAGCCTCAGTCCTGAGTCCATGGGAGCGGATCCCTCTGTCAATGTGATTTCTCACTTTTTTTCCACAGTTTTTTGTTGTTGTTCGTTGCCGATGCACGAGGGTCTAGACTCTAAAGACAGTGGTAATGATCTCAGACATCTATTGATCATTTCTTGACATTGGTCTCTGCCCCTTATGGACCAACGGTTTTTGTGTTTCTCATCATTGCTGTTCTTGTGTTTGATTCTCTGATCTGTGTTGGTGTTTCAACAACAAAACAGTGACATTGAATTTAGATGAATGTATCCAGATATATAAATGCAAAACGTAATGTGAGTGAGCTACAGCCCCCACCTCCTTTAGCATGAGCTCACAACAGCCATAAGCTTAGTATGGTGATATACTTTTTGGAAAATAGATATTTGTGAGGAAAAAACAGTAACAGTCTCCTCAGTCTGTAGGGCGTGTGGACTGTTGTGGACTGTGGCAGACGTGATGTAATGTTGAGGCCTGTGGATTACTGGTGTGGACTGTGGAGGAGTGTGAAGGACTGCGGAGGGTGGTGTTCCAGATAAAGAAAACATTAATTTGAGATTGATATCCTTTAAAATCCTGTCTCCCTGTGTAAATGAGCTTCCCTCCTTCCTCACATGGTACACACAACATACATACAGTAAATACATTCATACTGTATATTTCCTCTCACTTTTCCTCATTATAATTCTTCCTTGGCTCGGCGCTCCCACAGGCTTCAGCGGTGCATCCATGTCCGTCCATAGGAGGCCACTGTGAGCAGAAGGTGTCTGCAGGAGGTCCAAACAGGCCAATATGTATGAGTGGTCTGATCTCTGCCTTTGTATTATGTACTGTATATGTGGCAGGCAGCAGCAGAGCAGAGAGGAGGAGAGAGGAGGACAGAGTAGAAGAGCAGAGAGGAGGCGAGGAGGAGAGAGCAGCAGAGCAGGGAGGAGAGAGGAGGAGAGAGGAGGAGAGAGGAGGAGAGAGCAGAGAGGAGGAGAGAGTAGTAGAGCAGAGAGGAGGAGAGAGTAGCAGAGCAGAGAGGAAGAGAGAGTAGCCGAGCAGAGAGGAGGAGAGAGGAGGAGAGAGTAGCAGAGCAGAGAGGAGGAGAGAGGAGGAGAGAGTAGCAGAGCAGAGGAGGAGAGAGGAGGAGAGAGTAGCAGAGCATAGAGGAGGAGAGAGTAGCAGAGCAGAGGAGAGAGGAGGAGAGCGTAGTAGAGCAGAGAGGAGGAGAGAGTAGCAGAGCAGACAGGATAAGAGAGGATCAGAGAGGAGAGAGAGCAGCAGAGGAGATAGGAGCAAAGAGGAGGTGAGAGAGGAGCAGAGAAGAGCAGGGATGAGAGAGACAAACCGGAAAAAACACCCAGATGTCACTGTTACATCACAGGGTTGCCATGATGACTAACATTGTTAAGTAAAAAAGACAACTTGATTCATTAACTTGTCTCTCAAAAACAACTACGAAGAGGAGCTTCACTTCACCTCACCTCGCTTTTATTCATGCAGCAACCCTCCTCCTCCCCATCACTGCCTCCTCAGCCGGACCAGGTCTGTCACCCTTCTCCTTCTGAACCCTGAGGACCGAGCCTTCGGAACCCTGAGGACCGAACCTCCTGAACCCGGAGGACTGAGCCTTCTGAACCCTGAGGACCGAACCTCCTGAACCCGGAGGACTGAGCCTTCTGAACCCTGAGGACCGAACCTCCTGAACCCGGAGGACTGAGCCTTCTGAACCCTGAGGACCGAGCCTTCTGAACCCTGAGGACCGAACCTCCTGAACCCGGAGGACTGAGCCTTCTGAACCCTGAGGACCGAGCCTTCTGAACCCTGAGGACCGAGCCTTCTGAACCCTGAGGACCGAGCCTTCTGAACCCTGAGGACCGAGCCTTCTGAACTCTGAGGACCGAGCCTTCTGAACTCTGAGGATCGAGCCTTCTGAACCCTGAGGACCGAGCCTTCTGAACCTTGAGGACCGACCCTTCTGAACCCTGAGGACCGACCCTTCTGAACTCTGAGGATCGAGCCTTCTGAACCCTGAGGATCGAGCCTTCTGAACCTTCAGGACCAATCCTTCTGAACCCTGAGGACCAATCCTTCTGAACCCTGAGGACCAATCCTTCTGAACCCTGGGGACCAATCCTTCTGAACCGTGAGATGCGAGCCTCCTGAACCCTGAGGACCGAACCTTCTGGACCCTGAGGACCCTGCCGCCGT